CCTGCGTTTGGCAATTAGTTCTCTGGCAGCATTCCAAGGGAGATAAGGTGGGTGTTTATAAACATTCCCCTGAAAGACTATTTGTGAAGCCTTGCAGACTGTGAATGACAATAATTCACAGCCGTGTAAATAAAAGAGGTTTTACCAGGACTAAGATGGTGCTTTATACTTTCTAAGGAAGCCTAGATCAGAACACATTTTCCTCTTACTACATGGATACCAGCCTTAGTTTTATGGCTACAAGTGGGAATCAATCCACTCTATTCCTATTACAATATTTGGTCCTGTTTTGGGTGGAGGAAATTGGCAATCTACGTGCTCAGCTGAGTCACCATGTACAATATGGCCTCTGGCTGTGTGGAAATCAGTCATTTGAAACTATTATCATGTGTGAAATAAAACTAAATTTAGTGAGCATCTCAGGAGAGGGAACAATGGCTATTAAAGATTTCTTTCTTAAAGAATAGCTTTCTTGTGAAACTGGAATTAAACAGGCAGTTGGTCACGGTGGCCGAAATGCCTGCCGTTAATTTAAGTGAACGGACTAATTTATTCCATTTGGATGAGTTGCCTGGTGGACTGCAATCTTTTCTTAAACTTTTCAGTTACTTGAATATCGTGTCACAGTAACATGATGGAATGTCATAGCTTTCATTGTCCATTATACTCCTTGCCTATGGAGTAATGAGTCCCTTAGTACTCACCGAGTGAAAAGGTCTCAGCGGTCCAGGGGTGAAATGCTCCCGGTTCGGACCGAATCGCCCAATCCGGTAGCGATGGCAGCGGGTGGTTCGGAGAACCGGTAGCAAAAATCCCTGCCCCCACATGCCCAGCTGAGCCACGCGATCATCAGAGGCTTTTTTTTTTACTTTTAAAAGCATTTTTTCTATAACCTCTTTGGCCGAAGAAGTTGTAGGAAAAAAAATGCCTTTAAAAGCTTCTGGCGATCCCAGCTGAGTTGCCTGATCGTCAGAGGCTTTTAAAAGCATTTTTTTCTGCAACCTCTTAAGGTTGTAGAAAAAATGCTTTTAAAAGTAAAAAAAAAAAAAGTTGGACACGCCCACCCAGTCACATTATTCCCCCTCACCAAGCCACGCCCACAGTTTAAATAATTTCGGCCCACAATTTAAAACAAGCCAGTTAAAACCAATTTCAAATTAAAACCGAAAGGATGGGATTAAGCCAGCCCGGCTAGATGAAATAAATGAGTTTTCAGGGCCCGACGAAAAGTCCGGATGTCTGGTATCGTGCGTATCTCTGGGGGTAGGTCGTTCCAGAGGGCAGGTGCCGTCACAGAGAAGGCTCTCCCCCTGGGGGTCGCCAGCCGACATTGTCTGGCCGACGGCACCCTGAGGAGGCCCTCTCTGTGCGAGCGTACTGGCTGGTGGGAGGCTATTGGTGGCAGAAGGCGGTCTCATAGATACCCCGGCCCTAAGCCATGGAGCGCTTTAAAGGTGGTCACCAACACCTTGAAGCGCACCCGGAAGACCACCGGGAGCCAGTGCAGCTCGCGCAGGAGAGGTGTCACATGGGATCTAAAATGTTAAAATTCATTCCTTTGGTTCTCTTTCAAGAATAGTGGCATGCAAAACTTCAGGTTAACACTAGATGGCAACAACGAGTAATCTTTTTAATACTTTGCTGCCATCTAGTTGTCAACTTTTTTTTTTTTGCAAATCCCGTCTCCTAGCTCTGAAAGGGCACAATAGAAGATAAAACCCGGAGAAAATGAAATTGAATTGAAATTTGAAATGAACAAATAACCACAGTTAACTTACGAGATGACTCTTTGTGCACTTAGTACTTTGTCCTTCTATTGTATGGCTAACAGGTTCAATATGCTCACCAAATTTTGGAGGTTAGAGATCCTAGGCCTTGAGAAGCGATCTGTAGCTACAGATGAGTCTCTGTTCTTGAGAAAAGCTGGGAGTGTGTGACCCAGAAGTATCTCTTCCCTTCAGGTTAAGTAGGTCAAACCCCCATTAACTTGCCCTAGATGAGGGGAAGGCTAGCTGGGGACTCCTTTGGAGAAAGAATAGTGTATATAAAGATCTTCAATACATCATTTGTGAAACATTTACTGCAGTTCCTGGTCTTTGAGGAAAACTGTGTGTTTAGCAGAGAGGATAATGAAGTGTCTTGCACTCTGAAGTCTGTGTGCTCCAGGGATGGGAAAGCAAACAAAGGGGAAAAAAAGTTTTGCTTGCCATCTTTGGCACTTGGGTAAGGTCAGCTTTTGACAAGGCATCTCACTAGAACCACATTAGCCTCCTGACCTTAAGCTTCAAAAACTTTTTTTTTATAATTATCTGAGCACAGAGAAAGCCGTAAGGCATTTATTCCGTGGACTTGTACAGGCAGGAACCCGGCATGTCCATAATAATGTGTTTTGCTTAAGGGTGTACAAAAGAAAATACATCCATAAATAAAAACAAAAAAGAACTGGGAGGTTGCGTGTTCGTATTACGTTTTGGTTACCTACCTGCATTTTTTTTTTTAGCTTTCAGGATGAGTGGGTGGGTGGAAAAAATGGCATCCTTGCAGTCTGAAGGGAGGTGTCGGTTGTTCAGAAGAATTAGATCTAGCTACCAGCTGAACAAAACACCCTGCCAACAAGAGTGCGTATAGTTAAGGCTATGGTTTTCCCAGTTGCAATCTATGGCTGTGAAAGTTGGACTATAAGGAAGGCTGAGCGCCAAAGAATCAAGGCCTTTGAACTCTGGTGCTGGAGAAGACTCCTGCGAGTCCCTTGGACTGCAAAGCGATCCAACCGGTCAGTCCTAGAGGAGATCAACCCTGACTGCTCTTTAGAAAGCCAGATCCTGAAGATGAAACTCAAATGCTTTGGCCACCTAATGAGAAGGAAGGACTTGCTGGAGAAGAGCCTAATGCTGGGAAAGATTGAGGGCAAAAGAAGAAGGGGAAGGCAGAGAATGAGGTGGCTGGATGGAGTCACTGAAGCAGTCGGCGTGAGCTTCAATGGACTCCAGAGGATGGTAGAGGACAGGAAGGCCTGGAGGAAGGTTGTCCATGGGGTCGTGATGGATCGGACAGAACTTCGCGACTAACACCACCATCATCAGCTGAAGGCTTGTTTCTGAAGGGTCGCAATTAAATCCTATATGAATCCAGATAAGGCCTTTAGCAACTCCTTAGTTTAGCAAACAGGTCACTTTTAACAACTGTAAACAGTGGTTGTGTGTAAGGAGCATAAGGCTCAGTTCCCCTGTGGAGATGGGGCTGTCAGGCATTAGAAAAGTTGAGTACCCTGAAAAATGTGGGACCCCGATATCTAAGTAAGGACATTGCAAGTAGTCTTCTAGACTAGTGTGAAGTCTCCAGGTATATATCCCTCCATGTCTGGTGCTATTTACGCATCAGGTATGAACAGTGAAAAGACAGAGATAAATGCAATTGCCCATACCGATGCTCTAGAACAGGGGTGTCAAACTCGATTTCATTTGAGAGTTGCATCAGGGTGGGCATGGCCAGCTCGATGTTACTTGTGTCGGGGGTGCCTATGGCAGCCTAAATGCTCTGCCAACGAAAATGGGCTCCCGAGCTCTGTTTTTGGCTGTGATGGCCTCCTGAAACCTTCTGCCAGCGAAAATGCCATTTTTGCTGGCAGGGGCACTGCGGGCCGGTCCTTTGCTGTTTCCAGGGTGGCTCTATGGGCCAGATCTAAGCACCCTGTGAGCCGGATTTATAAATCTGTAAATAGAAAGATTAACACACTAGCATTGTATTATTATTATTATTGGTCATGAATTAGTATTATATGACATGCTGGCTAGGATGGGTTAATCGATAGAAGACAATATTTGTAGTCAGGGCTGAACTGCGGGATCCTTGGTGCTCTCTGAGCTTGGTGGTTTTCTTGCAGATGTTTCACTACTAATCTAGATTAGTGGTCCTCAACCTTTCCGGTTTTGTGAACCGACAGTGGGGGGGGGGGGCAGAGAGGAAATGGTTCCATGTGTGCGCAGCTCCATTTGCACAAGAGGCGGGCAAGCGTGAGTGTCTGCCGCTTGTGCAAATGGAGCTGCACCCTCCCCTGTCACTTGTGTGGCCCAGTTCCAAACAGGCCGTGGCCCAGTACCAGCCCAAAGTCCAGGGGTTGGGGGATGCCTGATCTAGATGACATCTAGGGTTAGGGTTCAACTAGCACGGATGACGTTACCTAGATTGGTATTGAAACGTCTGCAAGACAAGCACGAAACTCAGAGAGCAACAAGGTCCCCATAAAATGGATTTTTAAAAAAAACAACAACATGAAGTTCTCCACTACCCACAATTACTCACAGCAGCAGATGGCTTAAGCTCCTGGAGATCACCTGCAGGATTGTGGGAATGATGGCACATGGGATATCCAGATTCCATTGCCCATGTTCCACCAAGAGTGGCTCTGTTGTGGGCTGTCAGCCTCCGGCTCCTCCAGCAGCCGAATCAGAGGAGGAGGAGGTGGCATGGGAGTCAAGGTCAGCATCAAGGCAACCTGAGAGCTCCGAGGGGAAAGAGTGAATGGAACTGTCAGAGACAGATATGGAGGCGGAGCCTGGGGCGTCCGTCAGCCCTCAGATGGAGAGTCAACAGCCCCCAGGTCTGGAGGTGGCTGATGAGGGAGAGGAGGAACAGCTGGGTCCAGTGCCTGACACACAGATGCATAGAAGGAGAGGAGAGCAGTGGAAATCTATGGGCTGGTCCTTAGGATGGAAGAGCCACCGCTGCTAGTGAAGCTGCACCCTAGCTCTGGGGATAAAAGGCAGGATGCGGAGATGAATAGATGTGGCAGACAACTATTCATCTCCCTGCCGGATGGACTTATTAACCTGTGTGAAAGAGAAACTTCTTGCCGGGGCTGCTGGCAAATCCCTAAATAAAGGGATTATTGCTTCAACTACTAGGGTTTGTTGTGTTTGGGGAACTGGGTCATAACAGGCTCTTGATGGATGGTGTCCACTATTTCCATCTGTGCAATCAAGTGAGATGTGAGATGCGTGCTCCTTTTGAAGAGTTTATTTTCATCTTTACATGCGGTGTTAAAAACCCAAAGGACGTCTTTTATTTACACATCCACAGTACAAGTTTTACAAGATATCTCTATACATGTTAACGTACTTTATAGCTTGTATAGAGCAGTTTTTCTTTCCTTTCTCTCTCTCTCTCTCTCTCTCCGGATTACTGTTTCTTTTCTTTTTTCTTTTTAATCTGTACCATTTAAAAAAGATACAATCTGCATTTACCTTTGCACAAATGGATAAAGCATGTGTTTATTTTGTAAGGAGGGAAAAAAAAAACCCAACACAAATTATAAATTAACAGAATAAAGACTATGTCGAATGTTAGAGGTTTTTTTTTTTTTCTTTTTTCAACAGAAATACTGAGATGACTCACGTTACCCACAAACGAGGCAGCACAAAGTTACAGAAAAGTTATTCGGGTTCACATAACATTTATGTTTCAGTTTTACACAAGTATGTATTACTCATTAATGATTGTAAAGTGACGTCAATTACATTTTTGCGGTTTGATTTCTTTTCTTTCTTTCTTTCTTTCTTTTTTTTTTTTAAAAAAATTAAAAGGTATTAGTTGCAAGACTGGAGATATTTTATTATTTATTTATTTTTTTTTTAGAAAAAATTACTTGTGGCATTTTGGGAGACAAGTAATGCTTGACCTACAGATTGGAAAAAGAGTTTAATTGTCTATATGAAAGAACAATCGATTTGAAAACTTTCTTTTTTTTACTTATGACAGATGTTTTTTTTGTATTTGACCTGTAAACTTAAAAGAGATTGGTTACGGAGACTTCAGCAACCAAATGGTGGAACATCCAACAGAAATCAAGATCCTCATCTGAGTTGACAATCAGCAATAAGCACACACTGTAACCTGTGCAACTTTGGGTGGCTTGGAAAGGTAAAGTTTCCCCTCGCACATATGCGCTAGTTGTTCCCGACTCTAGAGGGCGGTGCTCATCTCGTTTCAAAGCCAAAGAGCCAGCGCTGTCTGAAGACATCTCCGTGGTCATGTGGCCGGCATGACTCAATGCCAAAGGGGCATGGAACATTGTTACCTTCCCACCAAAGGTGGTCCCTATTTTTCTACTTGCATTTTTTACCTGCTTTCGAACTTCTAGGTTGGCAGAAGCTGGGACAAGTAACGGGAGCTCACCCCGTTACGCGGCACTAGGGATTCAAACCGCTGAACTGCCGACCTTTCGATCGACACGCTCAGCCACTGAGCCACCGCTTGTATTATCTGACAAATCTTATATGATTTCCCATTGTTGCAGTTTGATTCTTAAGCAATTCAGGATTGGATGTTTAGCACAGTGAGGTTTCTTGGCTTATAGATTACGTTTTTCATGGATAATGAACGGTTCTGCAGAAAATATTAATCCCTTCCTTCTCTGCTTTTTTTCTTTCATGTTTTTGGACACTGCAGAGAGAACTTAAAAGCACTCGGGGGTTTACGATGTACTATTACAGAGAACACTTGACAGGATTTTTTTTTTAGTAGTGAGCAATTTAGGAAAAAAAAATCATTCTTGTGAATAAGGCACAAAATGCACAGATCTGAGTAAAGTCACACACAGAATATTTACAATAGTGTTGTGGTCGGCATGGCTTCAAAGAAACCACAAGCTAAATGATGGGCTGTGCTTCTGCTGAATTTTGATGGATGGATCCTGCTAAGACATTGGGGGGGGAATGGCTATATTATGGGGATAATGTCACACTTATCCTCCCTCACTTAGGAAATTGGGTATGTTCACATAACATCCAAAGCCAACACCTGTTACAACAGTGAGAACATTGCTTGAACCTTCTGGTTCTTACCACAAGTGTTGGAAGGGTACGGTTTCAAAACTTGGGAGAAAACCACGAAGCTTCATACAGAAGTAGACAACTAGATGTTACTAACTACAACTTCTAGTACATCATTCACTGTTGGCATGCTTCCTACAGACGTTGGGACTTGTAGTTTAGCAATATCTGGAGAGCTACCAACTGCTTTTCGCAGCTTCAAGTGACCCTCCCTCAACCTTGTGTCTTCAAGATGTGTTGTACTCACAACTCCCAGCATTCCAAGTCAAATCCAAGTTGGACTATTGAGACTTGCAGTCCCAACTTATCTGGAGGACCAGAGTAGGGAATGTCGGCTTAGTGTTGTAGGAACATACTCAATAATTTCAACAGAGCTCTTTAACAGTGAGAAGAATCTCCTTACAGTGATGTAAGCGGTGGTCAGAGAAGCTCAATGGCAAACATACCTTCTTGCCTCACGTTAGGCTTGACATGTTGGACTCATAAAAGACAATAATGGGGTTTTTCTCCTTGACTTCCCATGAGCTTAAGACAGATGGTGGAAGGACACTGCAGGAAGCTATGGAGCAACTCTTTGCATTTGAAAAAAAACAGAAATCTGGGGTATTTTCCTGCATGCGAATGTCCTCTTTTTCCTTCATGAAGATGTGTTTGAAATTTGGGGGAAATTAAATTATCTCTACACTGGATGGCTTCAGCCCTTGATGTTTTGAAGGACAGTAAATTAAACCGTGGTTGGATCAATGGGAAACCCATTAAAACAACATTTGGAAATTAGAGATCTAGCTTTAGAACAGCCTGGCTTTGGGTATCTATGTTTGGCTTGTTTCACATTGTACCTTAATTATGTCATAGGCCACAATCAAGACAGATAGTCCTCAACTTGTAACAGTTTGTTTTAGTGACCGTCTGAAGTTATAATGGCACTGAAAAAAAGTGACTTATGACTGTTTTTCACACTTAGAACTGTTGCAGCATTGATCATGTGATCAAAATTCGGACACTTGCCAACTGGCATGTATCTATGACCGTTGCAGTGTCCTGGGATCGTGTGACCTTCTGACCAGCAAAATCAACGGGAAAGCCATTGAATGGTTACTAACTTAACAATTGCAGTGATTCGCTTAACAGTGGAAGGGGCCAGAAAAAGGGGGCAAAACTCACTCAACAAATGTCTCGCTTAGCGACAGAATTTTTGGGCTCCATGGCGGTCGTAAATCGAGGACTACCTGTATTGCCCAAGCCCGCTGCACGACATCTTTGCAGTGCATCTTTGCAAGGCAAGAGTACCAGAGTCGAAGCCGCTGGCAAGTCCTCGTTCTGTCACAAATGTAAACATGTCTGTCCAGACAACACAATGGAATTGAGCACCTCCCTAAGAATTCCAGGCTTCCTTGCACCCTTGCATGCAACCCCTTCTCACCCCCTTTCTCCCCTTTGATCATTAAAACAAACTGTCATCCTTTGGAGACAGAAATAAAAATGCTACTGTCGGACCAAGAGGCTGAAGTTCAGCTCGTTGCTTCCTTAACCAACAGACGTATCTCGAGACATTTTTTTTGTTCTTTTTTTCCGGATATTTGTGCAAGAGGCAAGGCAAATGCATACATAGTTTAAAACGTTCACATTTTGTGGGAAGACTACACAGTATGGCAGTCTAAAACAAACCCCCTCCCTTTTTTAATTTTTACTTTTAATTATTATTAATTTCAAGTATTTGTTGTTGTTGTTGTTGTTCGCGGATCTGCTTCCTCCCTAAAGTACTCTAAAGTAGCTCTTTTGAAGTGGCCACGGAGTCCCGTCCTTTTTTTTTGTGTGTGTGCTACGTCTCTCCTCCACTCCCAACACAAGAGATGCTGTGGCCAGCCCTTCCTCTCTCTTTAATGCATGGGGCAAGCAGAGTCTTGCTGCGGGCCAGACAAAACCAGCCAGTGGAGCCCAAAGAGCCTGTTTGCCCCCCAAATTCGGTTCCCCCCCAATGCCCTCCATGACAAGCGAGTCGGAGTCTTTCTTTCCATCTGTTGTGCACCATCGCCCCCCAAGGTCTGGATGGATTGATTAGGCAAAGTTTTAATAACTGTATTTGTTCAGTGGTCTGACTGAAGGCGTCTGTGGGGCAAAAGAAGGTTTGGGTGGCACATCTGGCTTAAGAGAGGGCATCCTCTTTATCCCTGTCCGAGGAAGCGTCCCGTTGCTCGTGTAACTGCTTTGCCTAGACAAGGAAGGCTGTAGGTGGACGCTGACCGGTGTCCCTTGGATGTAGTCCATCTTTGAGCCTCCGGTCGGAGTCATATATCCTCCCCGGTTAACGCTAGGCTGCCTGGAGAGCAGCATCCCGTTAGGGGAGTTTAAGTTTTTAGGAAGAGCTGATATAGAATGCCTCTGGGAAGAATTCTTGTGGTAGCCCCTTTGCCTTTCCAAAGAGGTCATTGGTGCTGCCGGCGCATTGGGGACGTCGACCCGTTTCGTCGGGCTATTTCGTGGCAGGGTGGAAGGAGGAGAGTACAAAGACGCTTCCCGGTTAGGGACTTTGGGGGGGGACCTCCGTCACGTTGCCCATGGAATCCAACATTAAAGTCTGGTGAGTCACCTGAAGGTCAGCCATGATGGCTTTGGAGTTGCTGGGGGCTTCGTTTAAATGTTTCAGGAAGTCATTCAAGGTATTTCTGGAATCCACAGATCGCCTGTGGTCTCTTTTGCCCGAGGACTTAGTCAGTGGGTGGTCCACATTGGGCATCTTTTTGTCCGCTTTGTGCGCGTTAGAATTGGAGAAGGACATGTTGTAATCGTGGGTGGCATTGGGAAGGACAATAGCGCTGGGGATGTGTCCGTGGCTTAAAGGAGAATGGGGTGGAGGACTGGAGGGGAAAAACTGAGGACTCTTCAAGGGGGCTTCTTTCCTTGAAGAGCTGAGGTTGTTCTGAGCCTTCTCCATCTGGCTCTTCATCCCTTGTAAGGTCTTTTGCTGAAGCACAGGAGTCGATTCCGGGGTCGGAAGAGCTGCCAGTTCTGGTGGTTGGGCTCTGTGGTCCACCATCAACATGGACTTCGTGTCCGCCGTCTGGGGCAGCTCTTTGCGACTCGTCAGCAAGTTGGAGTAAAGTTTGGGCGAATCGATGTTCTGCTGATACTCCTTCACTGGGCTATCAAAGAGGCCGTTCAGCTTGGCAAAACTCCCGCTGGAATCCGTGCAGGATTGAGCCGACTCTGCGTCTTTGTGAATCTTCCTGGATTTTCTCACAAAAACGTCTCGGTAACAGTAAACAGCCACGCCGGCAATAAACGCTCCCAGAAGGAAAGCCGCGAAGACACAGGTAATCAGGACATTCATGTGCACCATTTGGTTGGAATCGCCCGACTGGACTTCCCACCTCACACCTATGACAAGCACACACACACACACACATGATGGACAGGTTAGAGGGTACTTTGGATGATCAAATCATGAGACAAAAGGTTGTTATTTCGAGTTGTATCCTAAGGGCACCTAACCAAAACTTGGTGTCTTGGACATAATAGCAGCAGGAAGGAATTATATCACTCTTGACAAGGAGGGAGCACCCCAAGTGCGTTCCAATGGCCTATTTGTGTTATAAAACACCTGTGGGAATCCTTACTGCTTAACATCTCTCTTTTCTTTCTCAGTCCAGTCATCCCAGGTCCCAATTAAACAAGAACTGGACAGGATCTAGCACAGCTTCCCTGTCTTCGTGTTTATGGTTGAATGAACTGCAATGAATGGATTTTGAGAGGACTTGATATTCCTGAAACATTGTCCAAGATATGAAGCGGCCCTTATAAGTGCCAAATAAAACATGTTTAAACTAATCTTTAGAAGTCAAATCATGATTATTCTTAGATTTATTATACTCTTGGGTTTGTGGTGGATTTTTCCTGGGGTGGAGTTGCACATAGACGTTGCAACGATATATTGTACAGCCTATGAAAGAGTTGAGTGTGTGCAATGAATAGCAGAGTGCAACTGCGCTTATGGTTTGTAAGAACGACCCTATTGTTCCTACCCCCTCTTGGTCAGCCTTCTAAATTTTGATGTGCCTGATCTTTCAGTGAGGTCATGACCTTTGCACATTTGGCCTACTTTGGTGTCTCCACTTCTTCAGGAGTCCTGCACTAACCATATCAGTTGGGCCGTGAGATCAGCCAAAGGGCATGATATATATAGTGGTGGCATAGATCGGCATTTCATTCTAAGGGCAATGTGGCCATTCAGCATTCTTTCTGAGCTGCTGCTTCTTCTTCTTAGATGGTGTGCAAAAACTGACTGTGGACATGACCCAATACATGTCCAAAGAAAGGGAAGTCAATAGACTAGGGGTGGGGTCCTGGCGGTTCAGGCAATCCTCTAGCTAAGGATTGCTGGGGTTCAGCGAACCCACAAATGGCACCCCTGGCTGGCCACGCCCACCCCTCCCCTCCCAGGAGTCTCCACTCGGCCCGTTCATCATTCCAGGTAAGTGCAGGGCTGCAGAGAGGATCTGGGAGGGCAAAAAACAGGGCCTCCGGACCCGGGGGGAAGCAGTTTTCGCCCTCCTGGAGGCTCGAGGAAAGCTTCCAGGGCCTGGGGAGGCTGAAAAATGCCCCCACCCACATGGTGCAGGCGGTCGACTAGGCCACGCCCACCGTGGCCACGCCCAGCAGTGGGGCAGCGAACCCACTGCTAAAGGATCTGAAGCCCACCCCTGCAATAGGCTGAGTTACTCTTTACTGAGTAATACTTGCACTAAGAAGTATTTCTGCTCTTTGACTGCTTCGGTCTGGATTTCATATCCATTATAGGCACTTCTCTGAAGCTAAGGAGATGAGAGCTAACTCTTACCTAGTTATAAACACCCAACAGGAGCAAGCTAATATCCTTACATCCTTACTGTGAAGGACATTAAACCACCAGCAGCTGTTTCCCATCCTTTTTTCCTTTCTGGGGGCTGGTTTTCTCTGCTCTTAGTCCTCTAACTAAAGGAGCACGATGGCTCAAGTGGTTGGAACACTGGGCAGGAGGTTAGCTAGGCAGTGTTCGAGACCCGGGAGCTGCTATGGGGCGGGCTCGAGCTCTCGTCCTTCACTCCAGCTCATGCTGGGGACGTGAAAGGAACTTCTAACTGGGCATCCCCAGGGCAACGGTGAGGTCACCAGCTAATCCTTTCAATCCAGAAGTGCCTTAAGGCTTCTGACACGAGTGCAACAATGTCCTCTGACTTCCTGTAAGGCAACTATCACTGGGGAGAACTTCTGCCGAAGTAGAGAATCAAAGCACAGTTGTGAAGGTGCATCAACAATGGCTCCCGTTCTTAGTTGGCAGGACCACGGAGCAAAATTTGAAGGCTAAACTGAAGATCTTCTTCCACAACTACCTATAGAATGTCTCAGAAGTAGACTTGGACAAGCATAGAGAGACTTTGCTCTGCTTTGGGGTACAAGGTGTGACTTCTACCTCTGGGTTGATCAGCTTGGAGAACTTGCCGAATGCGATATATTCTGCCAATCTATTCTCCTTCTGTCCCCAAGTCTCCTTTTTAAGACTCACAAATAGTAGCTTGTATGTTATTAACTTTAACAATTTCTGCTGGAAAATTGAGGTTAGAAGGTGTTACTCTGGCAGACTGCAATTAATAACTCATGGAAGGATTTCTCTCTCAATTCCCCCTGACTCATAAATCAGAAATCAAATGCGAGATAGGATTATGCAAATTTTATCATAATTTGTTCATTGCATCAGTAGAACTATGGTTCTCTTACAACTCAATGTTTTGTAACTTTTTCTTAGGTTTTTCTGCAGATTAAAACAAAACAAAAAAGAACGGTTTTATAGTTTTATGGTTTATGCTTGAATAAGGAATGCACATTTGGAATCTCATGCTGGTTTAGAGATGATTCATTAATGAAAGATATTAGTTTTTTCCCCCCCTAAAATATAGAACGCATCTAATTTAGTCCTGAAGAATAATTAAAATCGCAATTAACACACAATTATCGGAGCTTGCATATTTTTCTGACAGCAGTTTTATTATTTGTTTGTGTTAAGGCAGCCACAGACATCATTCTGGCAAGAAAACGTTAGTTTGGAAGAATGCATCTACTTGTGTTATTCTAACACCAGGTGGAAAACTTAAAATCAAGAGCAACATTATTCGTATTAGTAGTAGTGTTGTTATTATTTGTTAGAAGGCAAGGCTTTTGACGAGAGTTAAATGTGTTCAGGGTTATTGATTTTAATGGCTTTGTGCGGAAGAAGGGGTGAGTTAAGGACAGAGAGGCCAAAGACAAAAAGTGCCACCATATATATCGAGCGCCTGCGATTAAATCCGGATAAAGATTTCAAAGGACACTCAAGCTATAAAACACCTGAAGCAAAGGAATGTCAGAAGGCTTGAAAGGAAACCTGATACGTCCCAGAGACTATCAAAATGCAAACAACGTTCTCATCATTTAAACAAGGAAAAAAAATAGGGACAAGGGCGCGCAAATATGCAGTATCTACTAAGAGGTATGCAAACATAAGGCAGTTCAGGTGAGTGGATAACTGAGACCTGGGTTTAAATATGTGCCTACAGAAGAAACCGACTTAGTGATTTTAGACCTCTGTCCAAATCTTAGAAAAGCGGAACAGATTGAAATGGTGGTCCTGTTTTGCTTTGGTAGCAATCCAGTGGTGTACCATCAAATTTCATGATTTGATGGGTCTGAGAGCCAAGACAGAGAGGTCAAAAGTAATCCTGTGAAGTAATCCCATGACAGAAAGGACATTTGAGGCGAAGCCTGTTCTACTGCTTAACCGTGATTCCAAAATAGCTACCCTCCATTCTCTAGTAAAAGATGGGTTGGCTTTTGATCAAAATGTAAGATACTTCATCCAACATTGTTAGGTCAATTGCAGGTCTCTCTGTCTCTCTTCTCTCTCTCTCCTCTCTCTTTCTCTCATCTCTCTCTCTTCTCCTCTCTCCTCTCTTCTCCCTCTCTCTCCTCTCTCTCTTCTCTTTTCTCTTTTCTCTCTCTCTCCTCACTTTCTCTTCTCACTCTCTCTCCTCTCTTCTCTTCTCCCTCCCTCCCTCCCTCTCCTCTCTCTTCTCACTCTCCTCTTTTTCCCATCTCTCTTCTCCCCTCTCTCTTCTCTTCTCTCTTTCTCTCTCTCTTTCCGTTCCTCCCTCCCTCCCCCCTCTCTCTTTCTCAACTTACTTAGAACAGGGATCTCCAAACTTGGCAACGTTTAAGACTTGTGGGCTTCAACTCCTAGAATTTCTCAGCATGGCTGACCGAGGAATTCTGGAAGTTGAAGTCCACAAGTCTTAAAATTGCCAAGCTTGGAGATTCCTGATTTAGAAGATATATGGCTCTGTTCCTTCAAGCAACAGCATCCTACTTCAAGCTCATGCAGGTGCTTGAAAAGGATGCAGCTGTTTTTTTAGGTATCTTATACTATGCTAACATAAAATCCATAACACTTCTACTGATCTGTTTTAGAAGCACGCATGGTGCAACTAAACAACAATAAACCTTGGAATTTTGACAGATGGGTAGAAATAGAATAATTGAGTTGGAAGAGACCTTGGAGGTCTTCCAGTCCAACCCCCTGTTTAGGCAGGAAACCCTACACCACTTCAGACAAATGGTTATCCAACAGCTTCTTAAAAAGTTCCAGTGTTGGGGCATTCACAACTTCTGGAGGCAAGTTGTTCTACTGATTAATTGTTCTTACTGTCAGGAAATTTCTCCTTAGTTCTAGGTTGCTTCTCTCCTTGATTAGTTTCCACCCATGGCTTCTTGTCCTACCCTCAGGTGCTTTGGAGAAGAAAGAACAGGCATTAGCTGACATGAATTATGAAACCCAATTCTTGGTTGGTTTCCTCAGTTCCACATTTCACCTTTTCGGTTCTTGTTTTTTGCCACTCTGCCTCTTATGTCGCTCTGCCTGTGATCTACACACACTCTGCATATCCATTGAGCGAGGGAGGTCCAAGCTTATGGACCGAATCTTTGAAAATGGCGGAAAGTATCAGGTTTTCTTTCAACTGCAAAAGATGCCTTGATTCGGCCTTACCCTTTGGATCCCCTGATAAAGGTTCAGAGTAATCAGAAGTGTTTGGGTCATCTTGAGCTACAAATTTCCGAGAGCCAGTCACTTTAGGTTTCCAGGAACCAATCACTTTGGGTGAGATAACAGGGATGCTTCCCACTGTGGTAATGGAAGCTGAGGATAACAGCATGTCTGTGGTGGCAAACAGATTTTTATTAATGTGCATTACAGTTGTTTTTTCTTGTTTTTTTCCCTTTTTAACACCCTCATAAGAGCCGAGGTGGGGGGGAAGGGGTTAGAGTGCAGCACTGCAGGCTACTTGTTCCACCAGGCCGGGCTATCAACATAATAATTTTAAATTGGGGTATTTTAAATTTCTGGGGTTTTAAATTGAGCCGAATCTATTTAATAATTTTAATTTTTAATTGATGTTTGTATTGTGTTTTTAAACAGGCTGTACACTGCCCTGAGTCCTTCGGGAGAAGGGCGGTATAGAAATAAAATTATACTTATATTTACTTCTGCTGACTGCCAGCTGACTGCAATTTGGCAGTTCAAATCTCACCGGCTGAAGGTTGACTCAACCTTCCATCCTTCCGAGGTGGGTAAAATGAGGACCCAGATTGTTAGGGGTCATAGGCTGACTCTGTAAACTGCTTAGAGAGGGCTGTAAAAGCACCAAGAAGCAGTATACAAGTCTAGGTGTTATTGCTATTGCTCATCCACTGCTGGCTTCACTCAATGGCTGCTAAGTACTATTTAGAGGGAGATGTTTAATGGGAATCTGTACGAGAAACAAGGATAGACAATCAAGCCCAATGCCACTCTTGTGAATTAATCTCCAAATCAGATTAAAAATGAAAGTTCAGTTCAATATAACCGATTGGCCTTATTAAGACTGCTTGAAACGAGATGGACGGATTGTGTCAAGAGGCAAAATCTAATTTATTTATCCATTTGGCTCACTACTGTCAGCTTCGGCTGGCACCTCTAGGTAAGCCTTTTTCCTATCCTGACTGTTTGTCCAAGCAGATGTCAGAGTCTGAATTTCTCCAGGCTCAGGAAAAGCCTGTGTGGGAGTTGCCTCAAAATAGTCCAAGGCTTATAGTCTAAAAAAACGTGACACCTAAAATCTGTGGCATCATGTCCAAGGGAGACGATAAATTCCATTTCCTTAGGGCGTTCATTTGTTGTGGCTCCATGTAAAAAAAAAAAAAAACAGGATAGAAGCTGGATATGGATGCTTATCAAAATGCTAGCTAGCAAGGGATGGTTTTTTTTTAAATTTTTTTATGCTCTGTGCATTTTTGATCCGATGCACTTCTGCAACAGCTGAAGAGGGGGCTTTCTACGGGTAGAGGATGGGTTGCAGGGATTTGCAAATTTAATTAATTTAGGCATGTTAGAACAGAAATAATTCTCTAATCTAAGATCGTGTAGTGGGAAGTGAGAATAACCTCGCAGCTGAAGCAACAGATAAGAGACATTTGAGCCCAGAGTAGAAATGGAGTAAGAAAGCAACTCAAACTGATCCTCCATCGTTTTACTTAGGATAAAGGCAGGCCAGAGGGAGGCACATTCAGAGTTGCGAGACCGCTACGGTAACCCTATCATAAAAATAGTTTGAATATTCATGACTGAGTTTGACCTGAGTTTGGCCTACCTTGTGGGGCAGTGGTGCTCAACCTTTTGGGTACCAGGGATCGGTTCCGTGGGCAAAGGTTTTTCCGTGGACCAGAGGGGGTGTGGTTTTGCATGCTGACTGTATCCCTATAGATGGGGCTTCGCTTGTTTGCGTGGCCCAGTTTTTGGCATGCCGTGGCCTAGTGTCGGTCCAGGAACTGGGGATTGGGGACCCCTGTTGTCGGGCTAACATGTCATGGGGATTATTTTGGTCACTGAACTCAAGTTAGATACTACAGTGTCGAAACGAGACCGGTTTTGTTAAAACCTGCACAGCTTTCTCGTCTTAGTAAGTGTTAAAAGTTCAAAGATACGTTTAGAATGGGATGTTTAGAGTGGATGCTTTATATATGCTTTCTGTATGGTTAATTAAATAAATTAACTGAGCTTGTCAATCATTCCAGCAGTTCAGGACTAATTCCAGCAGTTCAGGACTAATCCAGAAAAGAATCATTGATTTCTGGGCTGGTGTGAATGCATTCCCAGTGGCTCAAAAGATCCCACCTTCTCCTCTATTTTCTCTACAATTTTTATTCTGAAGAAGAAGAAAACAAACAAACACATGTACAACCTCTGAAGTTATAATGCTAAGTATAATTATCAGCACAAATGCATTCTTATTACTGGAGAAATCAACGCAATTCAAACAGAGAAATACACATTTTGGAAAATGCGTATTTGAGATATAGGAAAAAATAAAGAAAGGGAGAATCAGGCAGGCATCCATATACTGAATTATGACAAGGGAGGTGGTTAGCATTCAAAAATGTATGACTGGGTGGAAGGTGGGAAGAATAGGCGAGAAAATCTCATCCATGTCGATCAGATTTGTGGGTGAATAAAAGAAGGACCTCAATTAATAATGAGCTGTTAAACATGCAGCTATATGAGGTGAAAAGTATTGAGTGAGCCAAACCGACTGGCTTTATCTTGTCCATCAGTGGGAATATGATTAAAAGCAGAAAAGCAAAAATATAAATAAAAAAAAGCGAAAGATTGCCAACTGCACCCAAAGGAACGGTAGATAACGAAAAGAGAGAGAGAGGGGGAGGGAAAGAAAGAAAGAAAGAAAGAAAGAAAGAAAGAAAGAAAGAAAGAAAGAAAGAGCTGAAAATATTCAAACTGAAGGAAAGAAAAGCTTCATTAATTGGGGGAAGGAAAAAAATGATTGGAAAAAACTAACCAGATGTTGGATCGCCAAATATTTTGTAATCTGGTGTAGTTGTAGTAGGCAAAATTTCTAAAAGAATTAAAGGAACACGTAATCAGTGAAAAGTAACCAAAAGGAAAAGCAAAAGATTTTCAAAGCCTGAGCAACGGAAAAATCAGAAAATAAAACACAATTGGCTACCCAAAAGGGAGGGAAAAAACAGGGAGTAAGAAAAATTAAAAAAAGGATTCAATATAATCATCAAGTGGCTGTGGACCTTCACGAACCAGCGTGATGGTTGGGGGGGGGGGGGAAAGAGGGTCGGTCGAAGAAATCCACCACCCAAGATCAAACAACTTTCAGTTTAAAGGGAGGGCAAGTGCTCAGTGCCATTAAATAAGGATCTTCCACACCATCATGTGGCTCACAAACCAAACCATGCTGCATTCTCAAGCGGATATCCAAGGTGGAGGAGCTTACCGTGGCAATCCCCCAGGTGGGCAGTGTTGCCGTACTCCACGTCTTGCTCATACCCTCCAATGCTGTGGTTGTATGAAACAAACAAAGACAACCTGCAATTAACAGCATTAGTTGGGGAAACCAAGGAGGACTGCATCATCATCATCATCATCATCATCATCATCATCATCATCATCATTGAAACAAAGGCAAGAACTGCAACACGATATGTATGTATGCGTCTAGACAGATCTATACAGATAATTCTCAGTTGACAAAGTTGGCCGTTCGAAGTGGGAAAAGGCCCTGAAAAAGGTGACTCGTGACCATTTTTCACACTTACGACCGTACAGTTTATGGATCGTGATTTTAGTATAGTCAAACCATGTATAATTGACAGACTGGATTTTATCATGGATTTTATCTGTTACTAGCTGGATGCCCGTGCTTCGCTACAAAACTATGTGCTCGGGCTTGATAAATTGAACTTGCAGCCTGAAACGTAATGTAGAAGGTGTAACTCCATAGCATCAGCGTGTGTTAAGATAAGGCAACTGGCAGTTGGGACAGAGTGGGAGTGGGAGTAGAATGTCCCAGCCCACAGCATCCATTGGTATTCATCTGCCTAGTATCCTGTTAGTGTGTGAGAGAGTTGAGGGGTATTTGGAAACTCAAACAGTATTTGCTGTGTGTGCAAGAAGGAGACAGGAAGGAGGCTGGGTGTGGCTTAGCTCAACTGTTCTGTAGTAAAGCTGCTTGCTGCTGTGAAAGTAAAACTGAAAGTGAAACTCCTCTCCTCTGCTTGTGTTTTGCATTTGGAACAGATTTCTTTTGAGGTGGGGAGGGGGAGTAGAACTCCTTAGCAACAGAGCATGTTAATAATAATATAGGAAATACTAATGCTCTGATGGTCATTTCGAAAAATCCTTTCTTAGTGCGCACCTAGAAGCTAAGAGAAATATACATGGCAAATTTCAAGTTTGTAGGCTTTACAGTTCTCTAGAATTTTTAATTGTATATTTATTGAGTGTATTTCTTTGTTCTGGTCTCTGGTCTACGACGGTAATAAAATCTGTTCTGTTCTGACCATAGTAGCCGTCTCATAGTCATGTGATCAAAGACCCATGTCAACTCACTCATACATATGATGGTTAGGGTTAAGGTTACCCATGCTGTATCATGGGGTCATGGGGTCACCCTTTAGTTACCTTCTGCCAAGCCAAGTCAACAAGGAAGCTAAATTCACTTAACAACCGTGGTACTAACTTAACAACTGAAATGACTCACTTAAAAACGGTGGCAGGAAAGGTCGTAAAATGATGCAAAATTCACTTAACAACTGTCTCAGCAACAGAAATTTTGGGCTCAATTGCAGCCATAAGTCAAGAACGTACTTATTTATTTATTTATTTATTTATTTATTTATTTATTTATTCATTCATTCATTCATTCATTCATTCATTCATTCATTCATTCATTCATTTATTGTTTATGAATGGGGGTGGGAATCAGTGGTGGGTTGCCCCCGGTTCAGACTGCAAGCGCAGTCCCGTTGCGAACCAGTAGTAAAGGTAAGTAGAACCCACCCCTGGGGTGGGCACTGGACTCAAGAAAGAATGTGTTAGATAAATAATGAAGAGGAGGCCTCATTTCTATTAGCATATCAATAATCTAATGGTTTAGTAGGTAGAGTTGTTGGATCAAGATCAGGGGTGGGTTCTAAATTTTTTTACTACCGGTTCTGTGGGCGTGGCTTATTTTGTGGGTGTGGCTTGGAGGTCATGTGACTAGGTGGGCATGACTAGCTGGTCAGAGTCATTTCTGGAAGGTCCTCGCACTTACGACCAGTCCTCGCACTTATGACCCGACTCATTTGTTTGCTTTTAACACTGATCAGCTGCAGGACGGCCCTTTGAAACCCCGCGACAAGAGTTTAAACAGTTTTTTTCCCCTCTAGTCATCAGCTGGGACTCAGGAGGCAGCAATAGATTGGGGGTGGGACCAAATAAAAAAGAATAACGTGGGTGGGTGGGGGGATGGGAGGGCCGGGAGGGGAGAGAACCGGTTCGGTGACGTCATATCGTCACCGCTACCGGCTCGGCCAAACCGGACTGAACCGGGAGGAACCCACCACTGATCAAGATCGATACTGTGTTGAGTGATCTTCTTGACTATGATCCATGCAAAGATGACTGGTTGCCTCCTATGTTTCCTAAGATGCGTACTGACACACAGTTCACAGCTAATGAATGCAGGCCAACTCTAGCAGGCCTTTGGTGTTAGCTCACAGTTGCTCTTCCTATTTTCTCGCCCTTGCCCTAAGGATTTTCTCATTAAACCATGACCCAAATTACCAACAATTAAACTATTGAACAGAGGGTCTGACCTATGAGATATTTCCAGACAAAGCAGCACCACAAAACATCTTTCTGTTCAACCACCACGGGAAGACATGGAGAACTTCCAGTCTGGAGAAGAGAAGCCCTCCTCCCATCCATCATCATTTACTGTGCCACAATTATGGAAGGGAGAATGATGGAGAGGAGGGCAGGGAAAGGGCAGGAAGGGAGGCCCGGTTTTTTTGGACAACCAAGCGGTCTTAAATGACAAGTCTGTTCTGAAGCAAATGTGAATTCAGATTGTTATTTACATTTCCTAGATTTAAATTTCCAAAAGGTCTCTCCTCACTGTGGGTAACTGGATATTGGAGCCCCTAAATGTTGGAATTGTTCCCCAAAAACCCTGATCTTCAGCTCACATACAAACTGCAGTTACCGTATTTTTTGGAGTATAAGATGCACTCCCCCCCCCAAAAAAGAGGGTGAAAATCTGGGTGTGTCTTATACTCCGAATGTAGCCCCGTCCAGCTTCTCAAATGGAGATTTCAGAGGCTGAAAAAAGCATCAGAAAAGAAGCTTCAGAAAAGAAGCCCCCAAACGAGCTTCAGAGACTTTTTTTCTGAAGCTCTGTTTTGGAGGCTTTCAGAGGCAAGAAAAAAAGTTTTTTATGAAACAGAGTTTCAGAAGTTTCAGAGGCAGAAAAAAAAGCAAAAAAAAAAAAAGCAAGGCACAGAGCTCACAAGCAAGGAACCTGTTGCTAAAATTCACCTCTGGGAACAGCTGATTGGGGGTATTCCAGGAGGCTGATCCACCTGCCAATCAGCTTTTTTCTTATTTTCCTCCATAAAAACTAAGGTGCATCTTATACTCCAGTGCGTCTTATACCCCGAAAAATACGGTAATCTAACCCTGTGTTGCAATCATTGTTTTCATGAAAACTTGAATTAAAAAAAACATAAACATTACATAAAAAATGAACAGCATCCTGGAGTCTTAAAAAGGAACAAACAGCAACAAGAATAGCTTTAAATTAGGGAAGAAGAGAGTATAATCAGGCATGAATGGAGCCTGCCACAGTTCCCATGGAAAGAAATCTGTGCCAAGGATGGTTTCTGTGCCACCGCTTGGGTCTTAATTAAAGATGATCCAGTGTAATTGAAGATAACTTTTTAAAGGAGCCTGTAGTACAGTGGACTAAAGCACTGTTATTAACATCTGCTGCTTGCAATTACTGCAAGTTCAAATCTCACCAGGCTCAAGGTTGACTCAGCCTTCCATCCTTTCAAAGGTAGGTGAAATGAGGACCCAGATTGTGGGGGCAATAAGCTGACTTTGTATAAATATACAAAAGTATGAAGGCTATTGCTTAACGCATTGTAAGCCACCCTGAGTCTCCGGAGAAGGGGGGCATATAAATTAAAGCAAAAAAAAAAAAGTATTTTATGGGGCAGAATGTCATTTGATAATGGGGAGTGGTGTGGTGGCCTAGTGGTGAAAATGCTCGCCTTCCATTTGGAAGGCTGAGAGTTCAATCCTAGGTAGCAGCAGATGTTTCTCTCCTAGGGCACAAAGAAAAAGTATCTGCTGTGAACTCCCCATAGGCGTCAGGAAGGGCATCCGGCTAGTAAACTCTCAGCTCCATCTAACTGCCCTGACTCTATCCCAAATTAGGGGATTACAGAGTTGTAACAGGGAGTTTAGTGTCATTTTGATAACCTTTTGTGTGGTGACGTAAAAACTCAAAAATAAAATTGCTCTACTTACAACATGCTTGCTCTCACTCTCCCGCAGGATCCGTGGGCCAACCAGCCACAGTAAGGGTCCCGAGAAGCAATGCAAGTCCTACAGCAACACCAAGTAAGATATTAGTCATCCATTGTCTTGGAGGATTGGCAGAACCAATAGTATGAGGTTGTAGAGATGCCTTACTTTTTACATGATCCATGACGCTCACAACGGCTGAGGGGAATTCTAATGATGCAGCTGGAGAACGCAATAAACAACACATGGTGCTCTTTGTCCAATTGCAGAGAGACGACTTTTTTGTCCTCTTCACCATCCCCATTACATCTGTGGGACACAGAAATTTTAAGATCTTCACTTTTTTGGGTATCCAGTTGTTGATGCTTATCATCTCAAGCCTACACAGACCTTGGTTCCTTTGTCTTTCAATTACTTTGTTAAAAGCATTTCTCCCACATGGGTTTTGAGGACCACAGTGTTGTGGCCCACCAACGGAGCTGGCAGCTGATTCAGACAGTGAGGAGGTTGGGTAGGAACATGGGCCAGTCCTGGAGTCTGGGGAAGGCTCTGATGAGGGCTCTGCGTCGGAGGCAGAGATGGGGCCAGGGCCGTCTGACAGTTGTCAGCTGCCTTCGGAGTTGGACATTAGTGGGGCAGAAAAACAGCTGGAGCCTGTTCCCATTGTGCGCATGCGCAGAGCCGCCAGGAGAAGGGAACAGCTAAGGAACAAGGGTCAACTCAGGAGTAAAGGCACAGGTGGACAGTGAGTGGCCCCTCTCAGAGGGAATAAAAGAGGAGTGACAAAAGGGGAGTGGAGTTTGCAGGAGACAATTAGTTCGCTTAATTGGTTTGTGACTCTCCGAGACTCTTTGCCAAGCATTGACGATATCGGCCTGGCAGCTCTCCAAGCCAGATAAGGTTTGTGACTGTAAATTCTCCCTTGAAAGACTTTGCTGGATGTGAATGAGAAGAATTCACAGTAACTTAATAAAAAGGGGTTTTTGTCGGGACAAGGAGTCTGCTTCATGCTCTTGGGAAGCCTAGGTTAGAACACAGTTAGTTGAAAGAAGACATATGGAAGTCTTCTGCAACTTTGTACCCTCTAGCCCAGGGGTCTGCAACCTTAAACATTCAAAGAGCCATTTGGACCCATTTCCCACAGAAAAGAAAACACCGGGAGCCACAAAACCTGGGTGGGTGTGGCCAACTTGACATCACTCATTCCCACCCAGTCACATGACAGCCCCCAGTCACGCCTACCTAGATTTTGTGGCTCCCAGTGTTTTCTGTGGGAAACAGATATCTTTCTGTGTGTGTCTCTGTCTCTGTCTCTGTCTCTGTCTCTGTCTCTGTCTCTGTCTCTGTCTCTGTCTGTCTGTCTGTCTGTCTGTCCTCTCTCCTAGGCTAGGCGAGGAGTGACTGGATGTGGAGGGCGAGGGGTGAGGCCAGCCAGTGGTGGGTTCAGTCAATAGGGAGCCACAGCAGGGGGACGAAAGAGCTGCATGCGGCTCCAGAGCCGTGGGTTGCTGACACCCACTCTAGCCCAAAGGACAATGATATGTTGGGCAAGTCTGACATAGTCAGAGAAACCAAGTAGAATTCCAGGATTAAAGTGATGGATGAACTCTTCTACAACTCTTTTCTTCAAGTTGCCTGGGTGGTAGAAGAGGAGATGCTGAAAGGACAAAACAAGCACAGACCAAACTAAGACAAACCAGTAACTCCCCACCCTTTGACAAAACCACAACCACTAAAATGCGTTCTTCAAGAGAGCAATTTCCATTAGATAGACTTCTAGACAAGGCCAATTATTGTTATGTTATGAAAAAGAGAAGACTTGGTGAAACCTCCAGAATTTCATTAGCAATTATCGTCTTGATCATTATTAATGACTTCATCGGCTTTTCTATATCAGCCTTTCCTCTGATTATTTTTACCAGAGGATAACAAGAGGATGTTGATATACTTGCACAGTTCTGGGGTATCGGCAATATACTGGGGCATGTCCATGCATACGTACATGAAAACAAAACGTGCTCACCTCAACGCAAACATGGCCCAACTGTTTTTTTTAAATTATGCAAACCCACATTTCTTTAAAGACCGGGCTTCACTAAGACAGGATGAGATGACAGAGGGAGTGAAATGTCACTGAAGTGAGAGGAAGGAAGGAAGGAAGGAAGCTCTTTTCAATCAAGTGGCTAACAGCAAAAGGGATTCGAACAAGATGGATGCCGTCAAATCATTCGCAGCCGTTCTCATAAAATAAGACCTACTTGGCATGATTGAAAGCATCAATCTCTTCCAGTAAGATGCTGTCATTCAGTGAAAAAGCTTTGGTCTTTGCCAGGATCTTAAGTACCATTCCAGCTTCAGAGCCCACAAAGATGACTGTGTAGTTTTGATACGGGCCAGCTGAATGATCCACAGCTATTGCGGTCAACCGATACCTGTTGAGATCAAGACATCGCATAAGTTATAATTGCTCTCTCCACCTTCACCCCCTGTTTCGCTTCGCAGGGACGATGGGATTTTCACAGAGAGCTTTATGAGGATGATGAGGAGTAGATCGGGGTGGTATTCACTAACTTTCCCTACCGGTTCGCAAATGTGCCCATTCACACATGCTCCCGGGCTTCCACCCATCCATGTGCTTTGCTGGCGTGTGCGCCTTCTGTGCATGCGGCTGGCCTCAAAAACGTGCCTAAATAGAATGTCATAGAGCCAGGGCGGACCACCTGTGATTTCTGCTACCGGTTTGGGTGGACCAAACCGGTAGCGGAAGACAGTTCAGTATTCAGCCGGTTCAGCAGAACCGGCTGAATACCACCTCTGGAGTAGATTCTATCGTGGGCAGACGCAACTTTCTTTAAGGAAGGCCACCCTCCAAAAGCTTGTTTTCCGTAGCTATGAAAGAGAAGCATCACAGCTTTTGCCAATGGTGTGTGAATAGGCTGCGTTTTGATAGCAGCAGCCACAAACATTAATCAAATAAAGGTTGATTGTCACGGGTACAGCATATTTTGTATGCGGGAAAGAAAGAAAAACCAACATGCTCAATAACTATAAAATCCCATTCTTCATGGCACCTGCATTAATCAGCCTTCCCCTGTTGTACAATCCTGGTGAGAAAGAGGAAGGTGAGGAGTTGGGTTTGTATGTAGGTGCTTTTAAACTTATTTATAATTTTCATTCGTTTTCCAATGAACAATAAAGACACATTATAGCAACAACAACAATATATTTTAAGAAGACACTTGGTTGATACCTAGGATGCTGGCAGCAACCTGTATCAACCATTAGCACCAGTCAATGGTATTTGTGATGCATTTTTAAATGTCCAGTTGACTGAGTTTCATGTTTAATGAATAAAGTATATAATAATAATAATAATAAATTATTACAGACGGATCATCATTTGGAACACATATCAGATATCACAGCTGTCGAAAACCAAAGCGTACAATTCCTTGATGTTGCTATACCAGGAGATGGCAAAGAAAAAAAATCATGGAATATCGTGACCTGGCCATCGAAACTATGCAATTATGGATGAAACATGAAACAGCGATGCCCATTGTCATTGGAGCACTAGGTACCACATCTTAGAATTTTACGAAACACATCAAGAAATTGCAGCTTCCTGCAATAACACCAGCAGAACTGCAAAAAACTACTTGGAACATTGTATATATTTAAGAAGATATTGGTTGATACCTAGGATGCTGGCAGCAACCCATATCAATCATCAGCACCAGTTAATGATATTTGTGATACATTTTTAAATGTTCAGTTGACTGAGTTTCATGTTTAATGAATGATAATAATAATAAAACATGATGGTAGCACTGAAACCAACTAGAACAGGAGAGCAGGTGATACCAGACTGGAAAAGGAGGAAGTTGTTGATCTTTCTGCTCCCTGGATTCTCCCTGGAGAGAATTACACAACCGAGAATCCAGTACTCTTGATTAATGTCCACCAATCCCTGTTTAATGAGAGGCGCTGTAAAGCTAACAGTGCCCATTTTAAAACTCAGGTAGGTCCACATGGAACATATCATTAAGATATACTAAATCTGAGCTGCAAATTGGCTTAGAAGATTTCACACCAACTTATGATACGCTTGAAAATGGGACACATTGTTTTCATTTACTTATTTGATTTTCATCCCGCCTTTATTACGTTATAATTAATCTAAGGCTGCGAACATAACTAATACTCCTCCTTCCTAATATTTTCCCAACAACAACAACAACAACAACCTTGTGAGGTGGGTTGAACTGAGAGAGACCAATTGGCCCAAAGTCACCCAGCCAGCTTTCATGTCTAAGGCAGAACTAGAACTTACAGTCTCCTGGTTTCCAGACAAGCACCTTAACCACTATACCAGTGATGGCTAACCTTTTTGCCATCGCATGCCAAAAGTGTGGGAAGCATGGTGTGTGTGTGTGTGTCGCGCACATGCGTGCCCACACACATAATTCAATGCGCCCCGTGCATGTGCACACAACCCCCCCTGTGCTCCCCCCCTTTTGGCATGTGATAGCACGTTAGGCCCGGTAGGCCCATTTTTCTCCCTCCCCAGGCTCCAGAAGCTTTCTAGGATGCTGACTGCCGGCTGCCTGCAATTTGGCAGATCGAATCTCACCAGGCTCAAGGTTGACTCAGCCTTCCATTCTTCCGAGGTGGGTAAAATGAGAACCCAGATGGTTGGGGGCAATACGCTGAGTATGTAAACTGCTTAGAGAGGGCTGTAAACAGGGGTGGGTTCTACTTACTACCGGTTTGCAATGGGATCGCTTGCGTGTGCTTGCTCTGCCCATTCGCGTTCCTTGCTTCCGCGCATGCACCTTGCTTCTGCACATGTGCAGATCGCTTCTGATGACATAAGGGTCAGTGGGCGGAGCCTCCCGCCAGTTTTACTACCGGTTCTATAGAACCGGTCCGAACCGGGGCCGACCCACCACTGGATGTAAAGCACTGTGAAGCGGTATATAAGCCTAAGTGCGATTGCTATTTCTAGCAAACAAATCTGCAACATCCAACTGTCTGCCTCCTCTCAAGTCTGTGCCGAAGGGCGCCAAGCCTTCTGTCATTATGGTGGGAGTTGGATTCTGTTTCAGAACTGTTGCTCCTTGGCCCGGGCTCCCAGCCATGCCTCTTACCTGACTCGCGTCTTTGTGAACCACGGCTCCTCAATGACAGACGGAACAGCGGAATCCATCAAAGGATGGGACTTGATGAAAGAAAGCGTTTCATCTGGGAAATCAATGGAGGTTTTGTAAGCCTCTGCCGGGCCATGTTTTGCACAGCAACCAGGTCTGAAAAGAAAGCAACATTTTTTTCCCGAGTGTTTTGTTTTTTAAAAAGTAAAAATAGCAAAAAAACAACCATAAAATCAGGGTCCAAAGGAAATCAACCTAGAAATAAGGAGGAATTTCCTGACAGTGCGAGCAATCAACCCATGGAATAGAAGTTGCCTTCGGAAGTTGTGGGAGCTTCATCGCTGGAGGCTTTCAAGAAGAGACTGGATTGCCATTTGTCAGAAATGGTGTAGAATCTCCTGGTTGGATGGGGGTTGGATTAGATGACCTACAAGGTCCCTTCCAACCAGGGTGGATAAAAATCAATGATTTAAAAAAAAATCAAAAAAATCAGATTTTTTTGATTTAAATCTGATTTTTTAAATTTAAATCTGATTTTTTTGATTTTTATCGAATTTATTTTAATAAAAAACTTTTGGGGTAAAAATCTATCGTAAGATAGTTTTCTATTTAAGATACATAAATAACTTAGTTTATTCAGCATGAAATGGAGCTTAGTTGTGTAGCACGAGGCTGTATGTTCTGCAACACTGGGACTATCGGTGAGTCAACAGTGGGTCAAAGGAGTAGCAGAGATGACAGTTGCTCTTTAAAAATTATGATTTAAATCGAGTTGATTTAAATCAAGCCTTTTTACTAGCGATTTAAATCGTGATTTAAATTGTGATTTAAATCAACTCGATTTAAATCAAATCCACCCTGCTTCCAACTCTGTTAATCTGTTAAAGTCTGTTAAAGATGGGGTGAATTCCTACTGCCGGGCAAAACTTTTCCAGTGTTGGGGTAGTTGTGACATTGTAGGATTCCGGGTGAACTTCAAGCCGCCGAGCAAAGTTATCTGCTCAATGCAAAAGCCCTGGAGGCACCATATTTCGGTCTCTAAAGGTGGGGGGTTGATGCCTAGATAAGCTGCTTTGAGATAACCGTCCAAGTGTGCAGTTCTGTGCAATCAAAACACCTTCGAATCAAATCAGGCGGGTGAAGCTTTGCACAGCCCACGGTATACAAATATTTTACCTCGGCCTCGGTACTTTGTCTTCGGGTACAGCTGTCCAAACAGAGTCGGGGGTTTTCTGCTCTTTAAATCTCCCTTTGAAGGCTTTCTCAATGTCTTCCATGTTGAAAGCGCAAACGGCTGAGCCAGGGATGCTGCCAAAGAGGCACAAAAGAGGCTGTCAGGGAAAAAAAGCTAGGTTGTGTGCGGTTAGTGCCAACAGTGAGTGGCAGGACTTCCCCTTTATGAGGTAGGGTTTGTTCCTCTCTCACCTGTTCAGCTGTGTGGTGAAAACACCGACCACGGTAGGGACGCCACTGATTTCAATGATGTCGGTGATAGACTGCAGCACATCAAAGTAGAAAAACGAATCCCCAGGCACCGAGCAGTTGAGACGTGCTTTCAGGAATGACGTCCAGTGTTTTTCCAGCACTCTCTGGGAGCCTCCCATGTCGTTTTTGCAGATGCGAGCCACGCGGGAATACACAGCCTGCAGGAGAAGAGCAAGAAACAACCACAATGATCCCAAAAAGCCTCGGTTAAGACAGGCCAGTCGATGGACGGATAGATTAAGAGGTAGGCGAAGCTCTTGATTCGGAGAGTCGGTTCAAAGAGGATTTCACGGAATCTCTCCACTGAACCGATTCTCTGACTTGAATCAGACCGTCCTATTGGATTGTTGGGTCAGATAACTCGAAGGCTTCTACACCTGAAAAGAAACGTGTTTTAATTTGAGACTGGTTTGGGGGAAAAAAACCCACACGAAATGCATCTCATCCCACAAAAATCCTATTTTTGAACCAAGTCAGATCGGAGTGGGTTGTACTGGATTTAAACAATACAGCCAAAAAGACGAACATGCAAGCATTTTGTATTGACTCATCAGTACCAGTGGTGAAATCCAAATTTTTTTTTACTACCGGTTCTGTGGGTGTGGCTTGGTGGGTGTGGTGTGGCTTGGTGGGCGTGGCAGGGGAAGGATACTGCAAAATCTCCATTCCCACCCCACTCCAAGGGAAGGATACTGCAAAATCCCCATTCCCTCCCCACTCCTGGGGGAAGGATATTGCAAAATCTCCATTCCCAACCCACTCTGGGGCCAGCCAGAGGTGGTATTTGCTGGTTCTCTGAACTATTCAAAATTTCCGCTACTGGTTCTCCAGAACCTGCAGAACCTGCTGGATTTCACCCCTGATCAGTACCTACATTACAATAACACGGTTAAAATCAGACTGAAATATAAGATCTAGCAAGAACATTAATTAAGCCAATTAATTAATTAATCCTGATTTGGATTTGTCTATGGAGAACTGAAGAAGCTTCTTGGATGAGAAGCAAAATGTCTTCAAAGGAAGGAAAAAAAAAACCACCCCAAGGAAGTCCAGTTGCCTTTTGGAAAAAGCACCTTTGGGATTTGATTTGGATTGGGTCAGGAGTAATTCAGCCACCCTTTCTATCTATCCCTTTGTTGATGAGATTGATTTTAGAGTGTTTATGCCGAAGGGTATCACAGTGTCCTTGGCTTCGAGTGGAATTCCATCTGCATTCCAACAAGTTGATATGGCCGGAGATAAATGTGATATTTGTTTTAATTCTAATTCATTGTATTTATCCCTCCTGACATAGCCAAGATTACAAAATTGCCAACAATTTTTGGAGAGGCTCTAAGGGCCACAACGAAGATTTTTTTGGGTGTGTGTGTGAGTGAGAGAGAGACACACACACGCATGCCCTGGAGACACACACGCTTTCAAGCTTCACTTATGCAACTCTGCCCTACTCTAAATCCACAGAAATAAAGTCCAGCGTCAATGGTTGAGATGGATAAACAAACACACAAATAAATAAATAAAAATAAAGGAAACAAGGCTTGATTAGCAACCTGGTAGCATTTAGACAAAACATCCTTGCATTCTCAAATACATTCCCAGTCGCTTCCCCAGTTTCTGAAGAGAAAAGTAAAGTTTAGGCACTATACCAATGGTTATATCTTGTCAATATTTTGTTAATTATTTCTACCTCCTGTGGGTTCTCTCTGCATTTCCAGTTTTGTGTGAATATCACACATCTTTTAAGTTTTGACGTGTCCACTCATACAGACACATGGCAGACAAGCCAGGTGAGACCCCAAGAGCGACGTGCGCAGAAGGAAAAAGGCGGGAAGAGGCAATAAAGGAACAGGTCATTTAGCAAAGTAGCAAGAATAATGGCCTCAGAGCAAGGAGATTTACATCTCGGGCTCCGCTCAGCCATGCGACTTACCTTGATTGTTTTTCACATTATATTCTGGCTGGTAATTGAAAAAAAAAAAACTTAGTTAAGATGGAACTATTTGGGAGGGATTTAGGGGAAATAACGGACAGGATCTGTTTTGATTTTGGTCGGTTAGACTGTTATGATTATTTTATGAGGTTTTGTACTTAGTCTTGATTGCCACATTTTATTATGGTTTTTATGCCTCGCGAAGTTAACTGCCCGGAGTCTGCTCTGATGAGATTATAACAATATAAAAATAAATAGATAAGGCTGTGATGAGACGAAGAAGGAAGGTTTGTTCACGCTGCCCTGAGCTCTGAAGACGAGGGCTGTCATAAAAATGGACGACGTCCGAGACAACAATGAAGGCAAGGGTCATGTACTTCGTTGAAGTCTCCCAACGAATGGGAATGCAGTCAGCCCAAAGGATGTCCTAGGCCAGGGGTCGGCAACCTTAAACACTCAAAGAGCCATAAAAGTCCTAGCCGGAAGCCCCCTGTTCAACTCTGGAGCCGACTGGAAGTCTGGTTCCCCCACCATAGAGTCTCCTCCTAGCGCAGCGTTCTTTTTTCTCTACCTGTCCTATCCGAAAACACTGTCAATTGTGGAGCCAACTGGCGACAGGGAGCCGCAGCAGAGGGATGAAAGAGCCACATGCGGCTCCAGAGCCGCAGGTTGCCGACCCCTATCCTAGACCAAGCTACTTCTCTGGAGGAGGATTAACTTTTCCAAACTACAAAACCAAGCAGTAGCGGCATGAAAGAGTGGGATGCAGAGAACCCCTTGCTAAAATTTTAGAAACCCACCCCTGCAACAAATGTGACTTTTGAGGGAGACAAAATGAAAAGGAGAAAGGTTACCACCCGTGACTGTGGGGGCTCCTACTTAGATTTTCAACCATAACAAAATATAACCGAACGTGAGGTCTTGGTTTTGAGAACAAAGCAGCACAACCAAAAGAGAAAAAGGGAAAAAGAAAGAGGGACATTCCACAGCCTTCTTCAGCAAGCCAAAGTATGAAAATAGCACCCTTGTAGAAACAAATAAAACAAATAGAAGACGGTCCACGCCTTTGTAAGCCTCTTGTTTTCACCCTCAAGAAATCAACTCTTGAGACTCTCTGCCACTCGTCGTAATAAGCGGCTGCGTTTATTCTTACCTTGCCTAAATTGTTATGTTCCACAGCAATCTCTCGGAAGAAGAAATAAACATAGTTCCCATATTCGATGGCGTGAAGGAAATGGGGCTCTGAAAGGCACAAGGGAAAGGAGAGCAGTCAAAACATTTTGCTCACGGACAGTTAAAAAAAAAACAGATGTCAAATTATTCTGATTAAATCTACTACTGGTCTTAGAAAGGATGGTAATGCTTTTTCGGTATCTTTTCTGCTGGGTGGGTTCCTTCCTTCCTTCCTTCCTTCCTTCCTTCCTTCCTTCCTTCCTTCCTTCCTTCCTTCCTTCCTTCCCTCCCTCCCTCCCTCCCTCCCTCCCTCCCCCTGGGGAAAACTCTAAACATACTGTATTTTTCGGACTATAAGACGCACCGGAGTATAGGACGCACCAAGATTTCAAAGAGGAAAACAAGAAAAAAAATAGTTTTTGCCCTCCCTGGCCCCCAGGAGCACTCTGCAGGCCTCCCAAACCCTCTGTGTGCCTCGTTTTCGTGAAAAACAGGCCAGTTTTCACGAAAAACAGGGCCATTTTTGGCCTCCCAACCCCCCCCAAGGCATCACATTTTTGCCCTCCCCAGCCCCCAGGAGTATTCTGCAGGCCTCCCAAACCCTCTGCAAGTCCCGTTTTTGCAAAAAACGGACCTGGTTTTGGCGAAAATAGGATGCATGGGGCGGATTTTTGGGAGGCCAAAAATGGGTGTATTCAGTGTATAAGATGCACCAACATTTCCGCCCTCTTTTGGGGGGGGGGGTAAGTGCGTCTTATACTCCGAAAAGTATGGTAATTGGTTTTAACGTCACCAACTTTAAAATGAGAATTTTATTTCATTTACGTAATGTGAGGGTGTTTGTTAATTTTGTTTGCTTGTGTTTCTTCATCTTTTTTGCTTCTTTTTTCTACTTTAAATTATTCATTGTTTTTAAGAGACGGGAAAGAGACAGAACTGCCTTATAAGCCTTTAAATAGGCTAATTTATAATATAATCTCCTTCCTTCAGCAATACTCCCTCTCTAAAACCCGGAAAATATGGTTAAAGCAGAAGGTAAAGCACATACTGGCTTGCAAGGTTCTTGTTACTACAGCCTCAATAAAGTGTAGATACAGTTTTGCTAATGGAGTTAATTCTTGATTTGGGGTACCTTGTAGGCCTGACACTACAGAGCGGATGGAGAAAGTTACATGCCTAGATTCAATCTCCATCATTTCTAGAAATGGTTGGAAAAAGTCCTTAGATGAACCTTGGTCATCTGCTGTCAGGTGACGAATAGCCTATATTTAGCTCATCAGGACTAATGGAATCAGGAACCGAGAATCCAATTATTGGTTTATCTAATCTACTGCTGCTGCTGTTTTGCTCGGTTCAGTAAAAGGACTTTCCCTGCAAATTTGGTACCCAAAAGCAATTTTTATGGGAAACGAAAGGGACTGTAACCAGGAAAAGAGCCTTGGTAGTACAGGGGTTTAAGGCACCCTGTTATTAAGCTGGTTATTAAGACCAGCTGCCTGCAATTACTGCAGGGTTCGAATCTCGCCAAGGCTCAAGGTTGACTCAGCCTTCCATCCTTTCTAAGGTAGGTAAATTGAGGACCCAGTTTGTGGGGGCAATAAGCTGACTTTGTATAAATATACAAAAGGATGAAGGCTATTGCTTAACGCATTGTAAGCCGCCCTGAGTCTTCGGAGAAGGGCGGCATATAAATCAAATTAAAAAAAAAAAATTGGGCAATACAAGTCATATATTTGGGGATTAAATGTCTGCCATTGCCTAATTGGCACACAGAAAAGCGTAGGATTTGCGATTCTTCATATCTCCTCGGGCAAACCATAGAAATGTTCAGGTAGTTATGAGATATTTCTTCATTTGGAAGTAGGCCCCTGATGATAGGCCCCCAATTTAGAAGGTCTCCAAAGTGAATTAAAAATAATTTCTGGAGGAGAAGATTATCAGCGTCTGCTAGTCCTGATGATTATGGCTATCCTTCAGAACCAAATCATTCTGTATTGGTTGCTGGAAAACGAGCTTTCGGTTTCATATTTGTCTGGTGGCTTCCCCAGAGGCCCATCAACTCTTATGTGAACTGACCAAGCCTTCACTTAGTTTCAGTAGGAGTCTTCCTATTTGTTAGAGCCTTTCTGATAGCACAAACACAGTTGTGTTGATGCTTCAAAAGAAGTGGATGTCAAGAGCTTCGCTGTAGCTAATCAAAGCACTTTAGGACATCCTATCACAGTGTTTCTCAACCTTGGAAACTTGAAGATGGGTGGACCTCAACTCCCAGAATCCCCCAGCCAGCGCCGCTGGCTGGGGGTTTCTGGGAGTTGAAGTCCACCCATCTTCAAGCTTCCAAGGTTGAGAAACACTGTCCTATCTGTTCTGACCCAGCCTTAGCAGAAGCAAGAAATGGACTCCTTGTCACAAAAAACTCCTCTTTATTTACCTCTTGTGAATTAATGGCATTCACCCACCGAAAGGTCCAGGCAAGAGTCCTTCAAAGAGTTAACCGCAGTAACAGACCGCATCAGTTCCTTGCGGATAATTGCAAGGCTCCCAGCCGAAAGGCTGCAAATTAAATTCTGGCAAGCAGTCTTTGTGGCACGAAACACAATGAGCCAAAATCTTCAGAAATACGAACAGTTGTCTCCTACGACAACTACTCCCCTTTCCTTCTATTTATTCCCCAGCCAGGGAGGGGCCATTCAGCATCCACGTTTGCTGTGCTTCCCAAGTCGACTCCTTGTCCTCCGTTGTTCACCTCTCCTAACTGCTCTGCACATACGTGCGTCTGGAACAGGCCCCAGCTGTTCTTGTTCCTCCTCACTCATCTCAGCCTCCAAAGGCAGCTGCCTCTCCAGTGGCTGGGAAATGTCAGACGGCCCTGGCTCCATCTCTGTGTCTGATGCTGAGCATCCATCAGAGCCTTTCCCAGGCTCCAGAACTGGCCCACGTTCCTCCCCAACCTCCTCATCATCCGAGTCTGCCGCCAGCTCCCCTGGCAACTGGCGGGCCACGACACCTACTATGGATGAAGTCAAGCTCCAGTGAAACTGTAAGACTCTTAATGCCAGCTAATGGACTGTAAAAAGCCCCCCCCCACCAGGAATTGGGCTACAGCTCCATGGTCTTTGTTTACTACGACTTCATTCATTTGCTGAGTTGATTGGTTGGAAGAGGAGAATGGCTTTATTCTTGGGCCAAACTGAAAAGAAAAAGTAGGTTTCCTACTTCGGATTGTACTATGTTGAAAGTTTGGAGCAGAAAAGCTTGGACATAAATATTGCAGCTGGTGGATCTTTCATGTCAGCGCACCAAGACATTGAGGCTGGCAAGAAAAATGCTTAGCGTCAGGCACGCTAAAAAATAAAATAAAATATTGCTCTTGTGGAGAAAAATGCGCATTCAGTTGATTTACTATGTTTTCCGCATTATACAAGACTAATAGAACGATCCTGTACAGGTTTGATTAAAAGATTTATTCCTACTGAATATACAGCAGCTTCCAGATAACTGTATATAGGAATTGTGGCTGTTGACATTTTAAAATAAATTATTATTTTTTTTTGGTTCTAGCTCTGATGGGTTTTAATGCAATGTATAATTTTGAAGACATTTAAATCTACAATTAACATTTTTTAAAAGGCAGGGGGTGGGAGGGGGGCGGGGGAAATAAAAGAAATTACTCCCGGGGAAATTTGCTAATCTACCATAATGGATTAGATACTTCAATTGCAGGTAGTCCTCGACTTACGACCAAAATTGCGCCCAAAATTTCTGTTGTTAAGCAAGGCAGTTAAATGACTTTTGCCCCGTTTTACGACCTTTCTTGCCACCGTTGCTAAGCGAATCACTGCAATTGTTAAGTCAGTGACACAGTTCTTAAGCAAATCTGGCTCCCGCATCAACTATGCTTATCAGGATGTCACAAAAGGGGATCACATGATCCCTGGGACACTGCAACAGTCATAAGTCCATGCCAGTTGCCAAGCCTCTGAATTTTGATCAAGTGATTACGGGGATGCTGCAACGGTTGTAAGTGTGGAAAAACGGTCGTAAATCACTTTTTTTGTCACTTGTAACTTCGAACAGTCACTAAGCAAATGGTTGTAAGCAGAGATGATATTCAGCCGGTTCGGATCAGTTCATCTGAACCAGTAGCGGAAATCGCGAGTGGGCAAGCCCCCACCCATTTGCCCTGGCTTTATGCCATCCTATTTAGGTACATGCGCGGAAGGTGTGACCGCCAGCAAAACACATGCACAGAAGGCTGGGTGTATGCGCGCTCACATTTGCGAACCGGTAGGGAAAGTAAGTGAATATCAGCCCTGTAAGGATTACCTGTAATCAAGAGTTTCTAAAATGCTGAGTCACAGATCAGGATGTCCTATAGACAGGGGTGAAATGCTCCCGGTTCGGACTGGATTGGGCGATCCGGTAGCGATGGTGGCGGGTGGTTCGGAGAACCGGTAGCAAAAATCCCTGCGCTCCCCCCCCATGCCCAGTTGAGCCGTGCGATCATCAGAGGCTTTTTTTTTATAAAAAAAATTAAAAGCATTTTTTCTACAACCTCTTCGGCTGAAAAAATGCTTTTAAAAGTATATATTAAAAAAGCCTCTGATGATTGTGTGGCTCAGCTGGGATCGTCAGAGGCTTTTAAAAGAAAAAACCTCTGATGATCAGGCAACTCAGCTGGGATCGTCAGAGGCTTTTAAAAGCATTTTTTTTTTACAATGTCTTCGGCCGAAGTTTTAAAAGTTAAAAAAGTTTTAAAAGTTAAAAAAATAAAAGTTGGCTACGCCCACGCAGTCATATTACCCCCCACCAAACCACACCCACAGAACTGGTAGTAGCAAATTTTACATTTCATAACTGCCTATAGATGTTTCCATAACTAGGATCTCCACGTGGGAACTCTCAGATTTATCGAGGGAAGACAACTCTACAGCATCTAAAATTCTTATTTGTACTGTCTGGCTCCATTTTCTCTGAGTAAATAAAAACAGTTAGTCATTACGGGACTAACTTCCACTGAACTGTGCAACTCTTCTCATCTCCCGAGAGAAGTTTGGAAGTTGTGAGTGTTTGGAAAACTACAGCTGAGCATTGAGCATTTCTGCACCAGTGGTTTATGGCACAACCCAGCCATAGCTCTGGGAATAAAAAGCTGCTTGTATTATATCGCCACAGAGATGGATGGATAATGTCATGATTGCTAATTGCCCAAATGCTAATGATATCTGAACCCAGTTACCCAAAGCCAGCCAGCTCGGATCATTATAAACCTGGCTTGTTTCCACTAAATATAGCGAAGACTGGCCATAATTTGCAGCAGATTTTCCCAACTTGGCCACCTACAGAAGTCAATTTCATGGTAGGGCCAACCAGTGATGAAATCCATTTTTTTTTTACTACCAGTTCTGTGGGCGTGGCTTGGTGGGCGTGGCAGGGGAAGGATACTGCAAAATCCCCATTCCCTCTCCACTCCAGGGGAAGGATACTGCAAAATCCCCATTCCCACCCCACTCCAGGGGAAGCATACTGCAAAATCTCCATTCCCATCTCACTCCAGAGGAAGGATACTGCAAAATCCCCATTCCCTCTCCACTCCAGGGGAAGGATATTGCAAAATCTCCATTCCCACCCCACTCGGGGGCCAGCCAGAGGTGGTATTTGCTGGTTCTCCAAACTACTCAAAATTTCCGCTACCGGTTCTCCAGAACCTGTCAGAACCTGCTGGATTTCACCCCTGGGGCCAACTCTCCAAACCAGTGGTTTTTTTCCAACCATGGCAACTTCAAGATGTGTGGACTTCAATTCCCAGAATTCCCCGACCAGCATGTCAGCAATTGGATTGTACTGCATTTGGATTGTTCCCCAGCATAACGGCTGGGGAATTCTGGGAGTTGAAGTCCACACATCTTCACGTTGCCAAGATTGAAAAACATCACTGTAAAATGCGATTCTTTGGGAATGGGAGTTTCTGAAGTTGAAGACCTCCAAAACTAGAAAAGGATGAGCACTTAAGAGTCGGCCCACAAATCAATATTCTTATTTACTTAATCCATCTCTTATTTTTTGTTTTTTTGCCAAATGTTTTCCAAGTTGGCTAATAATGAAACAATACGCCTCTCCACAACTTACTGTATTTTTAACCTCCAAAAATCTTGCAAAAGAAAATGATCGGAGCAGTGGAAAGAGATAACTTTAAAAAAAAAATCAATATCTCCCTATAAAAAGTATGCAAAGGCTATGACAGTATTAGAGATTTACAATTCCCTAGAATCTAGAAGCAAAACTCCAAAGCACAGGTTTTTTTTGGTTTTTTTTTTTTGTTTTAATTTAAAGTCACGGAATACAAATTAAAACCCAAGCACAAATCCATTCGGAGCACAATTCAAACACGGAAATGAAGAAATGAAACTCCAGCTGTTGAATGCCTTCGTTTCGGCAAAGAAACCACCTGAAATGCCAACATCTCTGCTTGCTGGTCGGAGGGTAACACAGAGAGAGGAAATTACAATAGCTATTCTTGGCAGGCTGTCTGAGAGCTGTTGATTGCTAAGTGGCCCACAAGGGGTGGGGGCACAACCCAGACTTTTCAGGGGGAAAAAAAAGAGCAAATGTACCTTCCCATTTTATTAATCCAAAAAAGCATGCTTCCAATTTAGGATGTCTGCGAGCAATGGACTAAAATTCAAATATTGGGAAAGGTGAAAAAATCATCACGTTCCGGAAAAGTGTACTTCAACTCTCTTAATTTTTTTTTGGGGGGGGGGGAGGCTATGGGGGGAAAAGAGGAAAATTGCAGGTAGCGATTCAACTTTCAACAGAAGTACCTTTTATCCACTTGGAATCATATTTTATTGTTCGCAAGGCCGACCCGTCTCCCATGCTCCGGTAAATAACGGCGTCGCTTGCCAAGAAATCCGCAACGGTGGCAGAATAGAGTTTGCCATCTAGAAAAGGAACACACAAAGAGCATTCGGTTGAAATAGGGATGTCGCCTTCTTCTATTACCGCAGCGTTCTTGTCATCTTCTCCGTCAACAGCTATTTATATAATTTCTACCTGGCGTTTTCTCCCCCACCTCCCACGCCGCCATTATCTCAATCACGTTATATATTTATTCATACTTTTTAATTTAGAGTTGGAAGGCTCATCAGAGCGCTGGGAAGAAAACGCCTGGTAGGACAGAGCAACGGTTCTAGGAAATGCGAAAGCTTTATTATTACCGCAGAACCGCATTTCACATAACACAGTTAATAAAAAGAGCACAGAGCAGGGTCCCGATCAAAATCTACGGGTGATTTACAGGAGATCATCTGAGTGCTGGCTTCCAAGGGTTTCACAACAAAAGCAGGGAAATGTATTTTTTTTCCCCCTCCCCACTTCATTCAGATGGCTGAAGTTAATTAAGAAAGTCTGGTCAGGTCTTTTGAATAAATCTGAACTATGGGTCTTTTGGATTTTACTCTGGTTAGCAGCTCTTAGAATTCGAGTCTCAAGCAAAGCAAGAGTGAATGAATCAAGAACTGGCTTACAAAAGAGCTTCTAATTCCACAAAAGGTATATTAGCATTTTTTTAAAAAAAGAAGACGCGGTGATGTCATAGGGCTGTTTATTTCCCCTTTTTGTATCATCTATCAATATGGTCCATTAGAAGAAAAGGTTCTCACCAGCAAAGAGGGCAACGTTAGTTTGCTTGGCATCAAATGGGCATCTGGCCAAACCACTAATTTCGTCTCCGTCATACTCCAAGGTACTCAGCTGAAGAAGAAACATACATTTCGGGTGTTAGGCTATTTCAGCTTCCCCCAGTCCATGCAATAGGTCAACAAAATCAGGTATTCATACACCAACCTTCCTCCGAGTCAGTGGTGGGATTCAGCCAGTTCGCACCACTTCGGGAGAACCGGTTGTTAACTTTCTGAGCAGTTTGGCAAACTGGTTGTTGGAAGAAATCATTAGGGCAGAGAACCGGTTGTTAAATTACTTGAATCCCACCACTGCTCAGAGTGGTACCTTCTAGATATGTGGGACTTCAACTTCCATAGCTTCTAACCAGCATGGTCAAAATCCAACACATCTGAAGGGAACCAAACTGAAAAGGCTAGCATGCAGTTTGGTTGACCCTCTTAAATCTGATCTCATCTCTCCTACAATGCTGAAGACGTATTGCTCAAGGAACCACACAGGGGATCGGTTTTTGCATCCACAAGACTACCGTCCATGATGGATAGATGCTTCCTTGAGGTTCAATAACATTAATTCATTAGAATTACTAGGAAAGGCTTACTGTATTAAAATGTGTAGTTCATTGCAATAACCTTTTCAACCATCATATGAATGAACACCTTTGGACTGCATTGGCTGCTGGCACTTATGTTCATTTGAAAGAATCTGCAAGCTGTGATGACCACTTATGGATGGGCCAGGTGGGGACCAAAATACCAAGCCCTTCAAATCATCAGAGGTCCAATACATATTCTAATGCGTATGCAGAAGGGCAGATATGAACAACTATGTTTTGAATTCAACAGAATGCTCTGTTAAATCAAAATTTTATTACAGTGTGGTTAGAAAACTGGACAAGGACTAGGGAGATTTAATTTCTAATCTCCAATTAGCAGTTAGCTATGAAACTCAATAGATGGTGAGTTGTGAGTTGGGTCCCATTTCTTTTGCTCACTGGCAGGATTGTCGTGAGAATGAAGGAGTTGGCCATGGAAAGAATGATGAACACGTATGCTCCCATCTCTCCGGAGGCAAAATAGGATGAGAAAGACAATGGTAAAATTGATAAGGAATCTTCGAAGTGCATCAAAGATATTCTTTGAATTTTGGCAGGGGACAATCTGACCGGTCTGGGCATTGGTCCTTACCCGATAATAACGGCACATAGGATTAAAAGCATTCGTTCCACAGACGAAAACCATCTCATCGTTCCTGGGGACGAAGACTTTAATAAAATTATGGCATTCATCCTAAAAAAAAAAAATTAAATTAAAAAAAGAAGAAGAAGAGAGAATGGCTCACATCGTTTATTCACTAGCAAATATTATTTTTGAACATGTGCTCAGTGAGCTGGAAATAAGGAGGGGAAAAAAAAAAACAATCCGGGCCTAACAAAGCACTTACAATTTCAGTGTCAATGAAAGTTCTCTTTCTATCAGCCTGATGAATTACAACTCACTTCTTAAGGATATTAATTCGGACTTTCCAATTTGGCTGTGAAAAATCAGTCTGAAAAGGGCCGTGCAATATTCCACGTGCCCCTCTCTCCCACCTACCCCAAAGTCAGATTTTTGCCGCGATTAAAGAGATAAATTAATTAATCAGCAGTTCTTAAAACGGCATCCATCTTGACCTTCTAAAACAGGGGTCCCCAAACTTGGCTGCTTTAAGACTTGTGGACTTCAACTCCCAGAATTCTCCAGCCAGCTGGCTGGAGAATTCTGGGAGTTGAAGTCCACAAGTCTTAAAGCTGCCAAGTTTTGAAGACCTCTGTTCTAAAAGATTTCGGGTGGGTTAAAAGTATTTTGCTTAAAAGACAAACCTACTTTGTGTTTTCCTTTCATAGCACAATTCTCCCGGTCCTGTTGCTTTGACCGCCATGTTAACTTCTGTTCAGATAAAAGAAAGAATAAGACAATTTTGTCATTGACCAAGAATGCTTGTTTTTTTAAAAAAACAAACAAACAAACAGAACACAAAAGGTGTTTACAAACATTTTCTAACCTTGCTTGGGACAACTTCCCCTTTTGGAATGTCATTCAAATTTACTGTATAAACTTGGTCCCTGCAAGGAAAAAAAAAGAAAAAAGAAACATATCAGAAATCTGATGGATTGATTGATTTTATTTAATTTATTTGCCGCCCATGTCATAGCAAATGACTCTGGGTGGCTTCCAGCATTAAAACCTTGTTAAAAACCTAACAAAGAAATACCTTTAACAGAGTAAAAAATAGAATATCCCATTCAGATAACAGATTAACAGAGTTGGAAGGGACCTTGTAGGTCATCTAGTCCAACCCCCTGCTCAAGCAGGAGTCCTTACACCATTTCTGACAAATGGCAGCCCAATCTTTTCTTGAAAGTCTCCAGTGATGAAGCTCCCACAACTTCCGGAGGCAACTTCTGTTCCATGGGTTGATTGTTCTCACTGTCAGAAAGTTCCTCCTCATTTCTAGGTTGAATCTCTCCTTGATCGGTTTCCATCCATTATTCCTTGTCTGGCCTTCGGGTGCTTTGGAAAATAGCTTGACCTCTCCTTCCTCTCTGTGGCAGCCCCTCAAATATTGGAAGACTGCTATCATGTCTCCCCTGGTCCTTCTCTTCACTAGACTAGCCATGCCCAGTTCCTGCAACCGTTCATCATATGTTTTAGTCTCCAGTCCCCTAATCGTCCTGGTTGCTCTTCTCTGCACTTTTTCTAGAGTCTCAACATCTTTTTTTATAGAGTGGTGACCAAAACTGGATGCAGTACTCTAGGTGTGGTCTTACTAGAACTTTATAGTGCGGTATTAGTACCTCACTTGATCTTGATTGAATCCCTCTGTTAATGCAATTTAGGATTGCATTGGCTTTTTTCGCTGCCGCTGCACTCTGCTGGCTCATATTTAACTGGTTGTCCTCTAAGATTCCAAATCCTTCTCACAGTCACTGCTATTAAGCCTGGTTTCCCCCCAGTTTATATATGTACTCTTGGTTTTTCTTACCTAAGTGTAGGATTTTACTTTTCCCCAGCCTCGTTTTGAAAACCATACTTTGACGTCAAGGATCAAGATCCGTTTGAACTCACACGGTCCCTCCATATCATTAATAAAAGAAGCAGACATCTGTCCTTTTATTAGGACTTGCTCATTTCCCCCAGATCAAAGTTTGAAACAAGCCAAGTTGGGGAGACTTGGTTGAGCTTGACTTTGATATTGTGGCCTATTGCCAAACCATCAACAATCATACGCGGGGTCAGAAGAAATAAGGAAGGTGTAAAGAGTAATCGGCCTGTTCAATTTATGTTATGATGGGAGTAACTGTACCTATAATGTCTTGCTTTGAGGAAGGACAAGATTGTTCCTTCCTCTGATAGCAAAAGTCATCCTATGGCTGTGATGCCTCTTTTTGGCCTTTGAGCATGGGTGGGCTTCAAAAGTTTTAGCAAGGGGTTCTCTGCCCGGTTGCTGGGTGGGTGTGGTCATAGTGGGCGTGGCCTAGTCAGCCTCCTGCACTGGGGAGGGGGCATTTTTGCCCTCCCTAGGCTCTGGAGGCTTTCCTTGAGCCTCCGGGAGGGCGAAAACGGCCTCCCCAGTCTCTGGAGGTCCTCTGGAGGCCAGAAACGGGCCTGTTTCTGTCCTTCCCAAACTTCCAGTAGGCCCATTTTTTGCCCTCCCTGAGCCTCTGTGCATGCCCTGCACTTACCTGCATCCAAAATGGGCTGCATGAGGACTCCTAGAAAGGGCGGGGTGGGCGGGGCCAGCCAGGAGTGGGATTTGGGGGTTTTCCGAACTGCACAGAATCTTAGCTAGGGGTTCTCCCGAACCCCTGCGAACCCCCAGCAGGCCACACCTGCCTTTCAGGTCATTGTCAATCAGAACGTAGGCTCCAGTTTCCTTTTGGAAGATCATTTTAATCTGCTTTTGCTTCCTTCTGTCTTTATAAGTTATCTTTATACAATCTCCGCTTTCAGGAGATGCAACTCTCAGACAGCAAAGTTGCATCTCAGCCTGTTGGGAGCTGAACCAGGCAACCGAGTTTATGTTCCATCCCAAAATCAGAAGCAGAACAAAAGTCACCATGGGTGAGAGCCCTGGATAAGCCATGTTTTCTGGCTTAGCTCAACTGAATTAATGGTGGCTGGTTTTTCCCAAATCACAAAAACAATCCATACTGTAGGTCAGCAGAAATATAGCCTAGTCTCCAGCTGCCAAACGTTTTGTGAGGTTCATTCTGCACAAGCTCTTCTATCGATACAAACAATTTGTCCAGAATCAAGTCCTTGGCGAAAAACAGAATCTGGAACTGCATGGATCACGATCAGAGCTTTCCTTCTACCCCATAAATCACCCTCTCCCTGTCTTGTCTCCATGTCCTGAGTCCCTCTTTTCCTTTCCTGAAATTATCTAGTGGATTATTTTAAGACAAATGCAAAACCAGGCAGCAGATGGAGGGTGGAGGGGTGGGAAGGGAGGAGCGGGGAATTTTAATTTAATCAGTGGACTGCAGGAAAATTACCTGCCAGCTATATAAAGTGTGTCTCGAATTTTCAACATCAGTTGAAAGTCCAGCTTGTGTTGGGATTCGTTGCCTGAAGGGCGTCCTCTAAACACTGGATATTGCTTGGAATCTGCAAGTAAGAATAAGTTATGCCATCAGTCAGGATGATGGAACTGAAGGAATCAATAAACGACATTGATTAGCTGTATATACCGGGAGCAGAAAGGGCTTAAACTAAATTCTTCGTGCAATGTCTTGAATATCAATGAATAAAAGATGGCCAGCAAGAGCCAATGAACTTTAAAAAATATATATAAATAAAAACTCGCACTTCCCCGCCGCCTTTTTTGGCTGCAGTAGGTAGAGAGAGTCCATTAAAGTCCACCTGAAACTTGGCAGCTCGCAGAAGGAAGAACTGTCGTCCTCCGGCGAGGAGGAAGCAAAGAAACAGGCAATCTCACAACACGTTCGGCTTTGCTGATCACTTACAATGGTAGTTGACCACGTTAATAGGATCATCATCTTCTGGAAAGCTGACAGCCCAACATCGGGAGATCGCAAGGAGCAGTGCGGAGGCCGTGAGGAGACGAAACTTCATGGCTGCTGTGTGGGATGGATGGATGGATTGGGTGGGGTGGGGGGGGGGACAGAGCACAACTGGCAAAGCGATTTACCTGCAAAAGAGGGAGCAAAACCAGCATTGATTCTCCATTCTCAGGGCTCCTCGGCTAGCAAGCTTCAATTTACATTCTTCCATTGCTGGCGAGGTCTGAGAAAATGATTCGGCTTGAAAGGGCTTTTTGTATTTGCCGACAGAAAAAAGAAAAAGAAAAAAACCTGCTACTTGACAGCCCTGATTAAAACTTTTCAGCGACACGGTGACATTTGCTAATTTTTTTTTTTTTTTAAATTGTGCCTGTTTCACAAATGGGATTTCTCTTCTGGAAGTAGGTGACAACTGTCAGCCTGGCTGAATCACAAGGATGGCAAAACAGAATACGCAGCCTTGCTGACTTGGCAGGAAGGCTGCTAACGTCGGGATTAAAATATTAATTAAAGTGCAACCTCTTTTCTTTTTTCTCTTTCCCCCCCCAGGCTAATTGACGCATGGTTCTCTCAATCAAGACCTTTGCCTGCAAATTAACCAGAACGCCTTTGCGAAGGGCAGGGCGCATGGAATCCACATCAACGTTAAGCCAATCCTTTGTGCTTTAAAGCTTGGTGGCTGCCTTTGGCAAATGGAGGAAATGTGTTTGGTTTGAAGTTATATTTAAGGTCCCAAAGCTCTAACCACTAGACTAACCTCATGATATTAGAACACCCAAACTGAAATGACAGTCCTTGGACGGTGCTCTTTAAACTTGGTGGTTTTCTTGTAGATGTTTCATTACACAAACTAGGTTAACATCGTCAATGCTAATCAACACTAGCACTGATGATGTTCCCTAGTTGGGCAATGCAATTTCTGCAAGGAAACCGCCAAGCTCAGAGAGCACCAAGGATTTCTCATGTCAACCCTGAGCTACAAATATTCTCCTTTATTGAAATGACAGTTCCTGAGTTTCACCATGGAAACCCCAGTTTAGGTTTACATATTCAAATGGAATGGAATGGAATGGAATGGAATGGGATGGAATGGAATAGAATAGAATAGAATAGAATAGAATAGAATAGAATAGAATAGAACAGAGAATGGAGTGGAATGGAATAGAACGGAACAGAACGGAACAGAACAGAACAGAACAGAACAGAGAATGGAATGGAATGGAATGGAATGGAATGGAATAGAATGGCAGCCCCTGAGATATTGGAACGTTGCTATCATGTCTCCCCTAGTCCTTCTTTTCATTAAACTAGACATACCCAGTTCCTGCAACCATTCTTCATATGTTTTAGCCTCCAGTCCCCTTATCTGCCACCAATTTCCCTTGACTTTTAGTAGTTCATTTTCTTGTTTAGAGCTGAGAGGGAATACATTTGTACTCATTTGAACAACCCTGGTCCCTGAGTTTTTGCACCTGACACCATCTGTCCTTAACCACAAACCACAAAACATTCCAAGTATCTCCCCAAATCAATTGCAACCCATTCCGGATTACCAAAAAACCCCATGATAGTTTTCAAGTCTCGAATAGTCTGCTCATTTAAAAAAAAAAATAGTTGCCTAATTGTCATCACATCCTTTTAAAACGATGGTTTCTAAAAGACGAAAGATTGTGGAGACAGGCTGAGGAAGGGATAGAGAAAGGGGGAAAAAAGAAACAAGATTGCCTGCTGTTTAAAGAATCACATTGTCACATTATAACTTAGGATCCTCGTTCTAACAAAGACTGAATTTGCAGGCTCTTGACTTATAGCAAGTTGCAAATTAGGAATTCACCCAAAATTTGAGACTTGGGATACTTGAGAAGATGCTAATGGTGTCCTTATATATTCATGCAGAACGTTTTTTTGGGGAGAACAAAACTTCTTTCAACTGAGAAAGGACGATTGTTTCCAACTAATTAAGTTTCTGATCACCATCCTTATGGCCTCAGAAACTACCTCTTACATACACTTTATTTTCCTTTTGGAGCTGAGTATCAAAAAAAAACCAAAAAAAAAAAAAAAAAAAAAAACCTCCAGCTTACTATCCAGTCATTGAAATGCAGGGGGGAGCAAAGTGGTATTCACTCATTAGTATAGTTTTAGCATATGCAAAGTTTCAAAATTATTGGGAGACGTTCTCAGGTACTCAAAAAACAAACAAACAAACAAATAGAAAAACCCCGAACAAAATAATCACATACTGTGAAAGTTAACACATTTTAGTCATTATGAAAGTGTCTGCCTATCATTTGTTCATGTGCAGTACTTTCTCCCAAATTATTCCCGCTGTAAATATTTTACACGACAACTCACACGGTGTTGGGCCAATCTGCTCCAGGGGTGGGTTCTAAATTTTTTTATTACCGGTTCTGTGGGCGTGGCTTATTTTGTGGGCATGGCTTGATGGTCATGTGACAATTATTTAGGATTTAGCAGAGGTACTGGTCTACCAGGCTTTTAACTGCTTGCAGAGCTGTACCAGTCTGCCCATTTATTTTTGCAGGCACTGATCTACTCATGTATTTTTGCAGGCACTGATCTATTCATTTGTTTGCTTTTAACACTGATCAGCTGTAGGACGGCCCTTTGAAGCCCCGCGGCAAGAGTTTAAACAGTTTTTTTCCCTCTAGCCATCAGCTGGGACTCAGGAGGCAGCAATAGATTGGGGGTGGAGCCAAATAAAAAGTAAGAATAACGCAGAGGGGTGGGGGTGTGCGGGGGGGAGAACCAGTTCAGTGATGTCATATCGTCACCGCTACCGGCTCGGGAGAACCGGGCTGAACCGGGAGGAACCCACCACTGATCTGTTCCCTGGGGTCTGCTGATGGTAATGCTCATACAAAATAATGGGGGGGGGGGGGGGGGGGGGGGGGGGGGGGGAGGAAATGGTTTAGAAAAAGATCTCTCACCCAGATTAATTTATGTTTGGAGCGTGGGAAATGAGATAGGTAGAGGTGAATGTAATGATAGAATAATTTATTAGGAGAAAGACTGGCATCCAGATGTGGGTGCTCCATCACTGGAGGTTTTTAAGAAGAAATTGGACGACTATTTGTCTGAAATGGTAGGGTTTCCCGCTGGAGCAAGCGATTGGATTAGAAGATCTCCAAGATCCCTTCCAATTCTGCTATTCTGATCTTGTTTGTGAATTGCTTTCAGAAGTGTTTGATTGTTTTAAGCCTGTGATGGCGAACCTATGGCACGCACAGCCCTCTCTGTGGGCATGCCAGCTGTTGCCCCAGCCCAACTGCACCACGCTTCATGTGCACCTCCCACCCGCCAGCTGGTCTTTGGGTCACTGCCGTGCATGTGCAGGGGGTGGAATGCATGGGGGGACATGCATGGGGGGGATGCAAGTTGGTGCGGAGGCTTTCCAGGCCCAAATCGGGGCACAGGGGAGCCTTGTGCAGTGCTTATGTGCCCCGTTTTGGCTTCCAGGTTGGTGTGGGAAGTTTTCTAGGCCCAAATTGGGGCACGAGGCTCCCCGCACCCCATTTTGGGCCTGGAAAGCCTCCAGAAGCCAAAACGGGGCACGGGGAGGTGGGGCACATGCTTGGGGGTCGCTTGTATTGCATTTTGGGGGCTCTGGCACGTGTGTGTGCATTCACACGCGCACATGCGCGCTTTGGGCACTCGGCACCAAAAGGTGTTTTAAGCACTCTTGGTTGTTTAAATGGCTATAAACCGTGATGCAGTCATAATGATACCAGTGGTGGGTTGCTCCCAGTTCAGGCGAACTGGTAGTGGCAGAGGCGGGAAGCTCCGCCCACCCACCCAGACGTCATCAGAAATTATCTGCACATGCGCACAAGCGCTGTGCGCTACCGATAGCAAACCGGTAGTGCCGGGTTTTGAAACCCACTACTGAATGATACCCTCTCTATAGCTATGGTACCGGGGCAGGTCAGCTGGCTTTGAAGGCAACAGTTGGTGCACAGTTGTTGCCATGTGTGTAGGCTAAGAATGCTGTCAGAAGAACTGCGCAAAACAGATCTTTTATGATTGAATAATTTCTAGGTGCCGAGATGCGCATGGAATTTCCGTGCAAAATATATCTCGACTAGCTCAGGGTTGAAATAAGGGGTCCCTTTGGTGCTCTCTGAGCTTGGTTGCTCTCTTGCAAACACTTCATTACCCAATCTAGTTTGGGTAATGAAACGTCTGCAAGTAAATAACCAACCTCGGAGAGCCCCAAGGACTCCTTAGTCAGATATCTTGACTATCTGTGGCAAAAGGGTTTGCAATTCTGATTTGACTTTGATTGCATGGAGGGCATATTGGCAATTTGAAATGGCACAGTCCAATCCATGGACTTCCAAGGAAATAAACAGCTGGAGGTCCGTTGAGAAATCTACATACTTTTTAATCAACAGTTCATTAGAAAAGAGACTATTTTTATCCATGGTTACTAGGGTAAGAGTATTATTGAATAGAATAGAATAGAATAGAATAGAATAGAATAGAATAGAATAGAATTACAGAGTAGAGTAGAATAGAGTAGAATAGAATAGAGTAGAGTAGAGTAGAGTAGAATAGAATAGAATAGAATAGAACAGAATAGAATTTAGAGTAGATTAGAGTAGAATAGAATACAGTAGAGTAGAGTAAATAGAATAGAATAATAGAGTAGAGTAGAGTAGAATAGAATAATAGAGTAGAATAGAATAGAATAGAATAGAATAGAATAGAATAGAATAATAGAGTAGATTAGATTAGATTAGAGTAGAGTAGAGTAGAGTAGAGTAGACTAGACTAGACTAGACTAGACTAGAATAATAGAGTAGATTAGAGTAGATTAGATTAGATTATATTAGATTAGATTAGATTAGATTAGATTAGATTAGATTAGATTAGACTAGACTAGACTAGACTAGACTAGACTAGACTAGACTAGACTAGAATTCTTTATTGGCCAAGTGTGATTGGACACACAAGGAATTTGTCTTGGTGTATACGCTCTCAGTGTACATAAAAGAAAAGATACATTCACCAAGAACCATAAGGTACAACACTTAATGATAGTCATAGGGTACAAATAAGCAATCTGGAAAGAATATCAATATACATCGTAAGGATACAAGCAACA